AGGAAGGAACAACAGTCTTTCTTCTTTTTAACTTAGACCCGCCCATTTATTTTTCTTTTATTTTCATTTTTTTCTTAATAATTTATTAGTCCAGCATCTTAAAGATATAATGAGATATACCTATTTTAAATCGAGATATGATTAAATACCGTAAATACTCTAATAGAAGCCTACCTCTAGTATTAACCCATCGGAAGAGAAACATTGAAAAATTAAGCCTAGGGCTTCTATTAGAGTATTTACAGTAATTTCTATCCAACTTTTAAGAATCCTTCCTTAATCTTATTTAATTATTGTCTGTTTATTTAAATATATTTTTTTAATTTCCAGTTTTTTTCTCTTTTTTAAATAAAAAATATTTTCTTCTTTTTAATTTTCTACCTCAATTTTTATTTATTTTCTCAATTTTATTTTTTTTCCAATTTTCTACGATTTTTATTCACAAAATGCGCCAATCCGCTTATAGAAGAGAGTAGTTAGGTAGATTATTTTATTTTAATAGAAATAAATATATATTTTTTGTTTTGAATTAATCCGCGCATCGTTTTAGATTTTTTTGTTTGTAGTAAATGTTTAGTTGATCTCTCATAAACTTTTTTTGTTGGTTGGAGAGAAAGAGAAGGGAGAGGATATTTAAATTAATACCGTATTTCCTATATTAGAGCCCCATGGGGCTCTAATTTTCAACTATCCTCCAAGGTGGGGCTGTATTAAAGGGTGGGGCTCTAATTGAGGGTGGGGCTCTATTTTTCAACCCTCTTTTGAGATAGAATCCCATTTATTATATCCATTGCAACTAGAGATAAGTCGGAGGGTTTGGTCGATAAAGCCGCAAAATATCGAAAGAGAATCTATATTTTTCGATTTTTCAAGAAAAACCAAAACTTTTTAAGCAATGAATTACAAAATAGTCCCAATAGTTCAATGAGAGTAAGATTAATTATTAAATATGGGTAGATTTGGACGGATTAAAGGAAATATTATGGAACTTTTATTTGACATTGATGGATTAGAGGGATAAAAATGGATTTTAAGGGATTATGGGGAATATCAGAGGATTAAGTTTATATTGAGAGATTTAGAGGGATTATGAGGGATATTCTGGACTAGGGGTATTAGGAGTAGAGTTGTACCCCGACCCCGTACCCCGAACCCCGACCCCGTTCCCGAACGATTTTTTCACGATTCTCCCCGACCCGAACCCCGCCCCGAAAAAAAGTGAAAACCCCGTTCCCCGGACCAAAAAGTTTCGGGGTTTCGGGGTTTTATACCCCTAAAAAATGTCATTTTTTGGAGAAATTAATGAAGAAAATTTAAAAAATTTCCACCCATTTTACTTTGCTTTTATTATTCTTGAAAGAAAATTAAATGAAATATCATAATTTTCTTTCCTTCTTTATTAAGAGACTTGTGGTTGAGTGGCTTAGTCGTTGGTTTTAGCAGATATTTCATTAATATAAAATTGGGTTCGGATCCATATAAGGAGAACTATTTTGTTTTTATATTTCTTTACAAAAACATATTATTAACGAGTTAAATTTTAATTTTAAAATATTAATTTTATTTTTAACTGATATCCCTTGAACGAACCTTAATCCTTCAAACCCCTTGTATCACCAGTAAGGGGTTCCCAACCATAACTATCAAGGTCCTGTTAACGTGAATCAGAGATATAAAGGGATCTGTAGTATATCGAAGAATTAAGGAGTTAAAGGGATTCAAAGGGATCTAAGGTTTAAATTAAAATGTATTTAAAAGTATTACGCGAATTTAACGGATATATGTAGATGAATTACCATGGATTTCGTGGGAGATTTAAGGATTAATTGAAGATATCTCCCGATATCCGTCCAAATACCCTTATCCGCAATACATCAAATCCTTATAAATCACTAATATCCCTTGAACCAACAAAAATCACTCCAGATCACCTTGTATCCCTAAATATACCATTTAATCCCTAAAAATCCCACTTAATCCCTCCAGATCCACTTATATCCCAAGTTATACACTTTAATCCCTTCAAATCCCCTCTAATTTCTCCAAATCCTACTTAATTTTTGAATAAATCAGCGAAAATATATCGATTTCTAATTATTTTTGAGCATTTTTTTCTCTAAAAATTTTTCCACTAAACCCCCGTACCCCGACCCGAACCCCGGCCATATTTTGCTCCCCCGACCCGAACCCCGCCCCGAAACAATTGGAAAACCCCGTACCCCGACATACCCGCCCCCGAGCGTTCGGGGTACAACCCTAATTAGGAGGCATATGAAGGGATTTGTTTGATAAAGCTTTGGAACAGGTTCCAGAACTGGAACTGAAGAAATTCAAATAGCAGTTACGTAACTGAAATCGGTTCCAGAGAAATTTTGGTTAGATATCACTGATTAGATATCTAATAGATCTCTAATAATCTCGCGAATTATCATCAAGTGCCTAACACGATTGCAACCCTTTATAAAATGATTAGATTTTGGAGGTAATAGGAGGAATTTAGAGGAATATAGGCGATATTAGAGTATTTTGACGGATAACGGGATTAATCCCTCATTTTCATCCCTAATCCCCATGATCCCTCCTCCTCAATGATCACGAAATCATAGATATCCCCCTTTATTTCCTTAACTCTCTTAATACATACATCTTAAAAGTTATTCTGATATTTTTTCCTCCAATATTTTTTAGGTGGGGCTGTATTTGGGGTGGGGCTCTAATTGAGGGTGGGGCTCTATTTTTCAACTATCCTCCAAAGTGGGGCTGTATTAGAGGGTGGGGCTCTAACAAAGAGTGGGGCTCTAATATAGGAAATACGGTATATTTTATTTTTTAATAATCTTTTTGATTTTTAAAAAATAAATTTTTAATTGTTATTCAAGGTATTTATTTAATAACCAGTCTCCGTCTTTTCATTTTTCTGAAATTTCCAATTAACTTTTACTGCTAAATTTGTGATCAGTTTTAAACAGAAATACATTAAGCGTCAATAAAAGGATAGTTATAAATATGATTTTTTGAAACTTTTTATATGCTTTATTGGAATATATTAAGGAATATTCTTTTGAAGCAATTTCTAGCTCAAATAAAAATAATTTTTGAAATTCCCTATTTAAAAATTGAGAATCTATTATTATAACAGGCTTGGTAATGGATACGGATATGGGTATAGATAAGTTTAAAATGCCTGCGGATATCCGTCTGTATCAGCCTTAAATGTCCGGATACGGATACCAAAATCTATGTCCGTTACTAAATCTGTATTAGAATATTGTGATCAAAGAAACCCAACCCGTAATTAACATTATATATTTATTTAATTATTTTATTTTTAGAATATCCATTTAATTATCCCCTTTTTCACTAAATCTTTAAATAATTTAGAGAAATGGTTGACACAGAGAATAATTCCAACAAAAATTTCAATTCAACCCCAAATAACAACCCCAACAATTCCCTATTATATTCTTCCCCAATTCCATCAACTTCTTCATTTCCTCCATTTTATTCTTCTTCCATACCTTCCTCTTCCTCCTCTACTAATCCCTTTAATAATTATTTTTCTTCTCCTTCTTCAACTTCTCAATATTCCTTTGGAAATCAACAATTTAATAATCAAAATTATCCAAATAATAATTCTATTAATTTTGCTGCTGCTGCTTTTGCCGCAGTTATTAATGGAACGAATTCAATTAATGGAACGAGTAATATTTGTGGAAATTCTGGGTAAAGATTTTTGAAAAAATAATATTTTTGATTAGTGTCCAAAACAGAGATTGACGGATTTTTTTCCCTATTTACAAAATTTTTTTTTAGAATTTTAGTGTTCCGATTTCCTGCATTTTTTTGTTCACTCCTGGCTTGAAGGAGACTCGCTACCTTAGAATATTTCTTAGAGTTCCCGTTTATCTTATTTATGAGACAGCTGAAAAGCATTTAAAATTCTTGAGAGGGGTAAGGATAATAATATAATCTTAAAAAAGGAGTGAAGAGAAGAAGGTGAGCGAGATTTCTATCAATTAACTGCCAAAGTTCGCATGTTTCTGTCCATTGACTAAAATTTATTTTTAACTTTTAATTTTCTTTAAATATATTTATTTAAAGAACTCCCAATACTTCAGCAGGTGGACCTATTTTAGCAAATTTTGAATATAATCGAAAGGGTAGACGTGAAAGAACATCATACAACAAGAATCAATTGGACATACTTGAAGCACAATTTCAGCTAGGAGTAAGTAAATAAGGGATGTGATTAATAAACCAAAAATGAGAACCATAAATTTGTGTTGCCTCTTAAAAGGGAGTATATCAAGCCTGGATAATTTTCAGTTATGCCGTCTCTCAAAATTAATTCTAAGAATCTTAAAGTATAGGATAATAAAAGGTACTGATCACGTTTAACACAAAAAGATTGGATATATTTGATAATGAGAGTTTTCCGACACGCCCATTCTTAGTTGTCCTTGCAATGTCCAAAAATATATTAATTATTTTATCTTGTTCTAATCTAGTAACTAAATAATTTTTGAATTTGGAAACTTTCTGACTATCACAAGCAATAATAATCCACAAATACCAAAAATATAAACTAACAAAAAATAACTTTTTTAAATTATTTTTTAACCAAATTTTCTAGCAATATCCAGATGTAGCAATACGCGAAGATTTAGCTGCCAAAATTAATTTACCGGAAAGTCGTATTCAGGTAAATATATTTAAAAATTTATAATTTCGATGACCATATTCTTAGATATCTCTAATACATATTAGATAACCTCTATTTAAAATAGAGAATATTAATAACAAAATTTCACCAGTTTCTATAGGGTCAAACTATTTACATATATTAACAAGAGTCGCCAACCTTATTAGGAATTTTATACAATAATTAAATTTCTCAATTTTTAATTTTCAAAGGTTTGGTTCAAGAATCGAAGGTTGGTAATAATAATTATTTTTAAATTTAAAATATGTAAATCCACACAAAAAATTAAAGAGCAAAATTTCGTCAACTAAAAAAGAATCATGAAGCAATAATGAAAATGGCTAGCGCAATACCTCCTCAAACAACTTCTTCAACAATAACTTCTCCACATCCCCAACCTCCCCAAATTAATAATTTAATTCCATTTATTTATTCAACAAATCAAAATATAAAAAATGAAAATAAAAATAATAGTAGTGGTAGAATAGAATCTCCTCCTCCAGCAGAACCTACAATTATTAAAAAAGAACCAATAAAAACTGAAACCAAAACGAATTTAGAAGCTGAAACAAATTTAATAAATCAACAAACACCTCATCATTTCACTACTAGATCTCAACAAAGCCTTCCAGATTTTTGTAAAAATTTAAGATTTAAATCTAGTTTTTTGGAAGTCGAAAAAGTTTATTTGTGGTTTAGTTGGTAGTGTGCTAGACTTGCCACCGAGGATGGCCGGGTTCGAATCCTCTTGGTGGAAATAATTTTTTATAACTTGAAAATAGAAATCATGTTTAAGCAAAACGTATTTAGCCACTGAAAAACTGACAATTAAACTAAAATTCATCAGAATAATTTAAACAGGCTTAACATCTGATCCCCAAAATTCCTCTACTATGGCATCCTTTGCCACTCATTTCCCTCGCTCATTTTCAACAACAATGCCTGGAAGTATGAATGGGATGTTTTGGGGAGGAACAAATGGAGCATATACCGATTATGCAAATGCAGGAAATAATCACTTGACAGGAATGGATTGGTTTACAAATTCACAATGGCCAATTTATTACCCGGTACATTGATAATTTCATTAAAACCTCTAAAAACTAATATTTATTTTAGCCTTACGGTAATGCCTATTATCAACAAAATACAGCCTTAGCCGAATCATCAGTGATAGAAGGTTCTGTAAAGAGTTCATTGAAAGAACAAACAGATGACTGTTAATTTAAATAGAATATATATGTAAAGATCAGACAAGGGGCCAATCAAATATTAAAATTAGGCTGTGAACCTTATTTGTTTTATGTTCCCAATAAAAACGATAGGAAGCCCGAAATTTGGCTTTTTTAAAGGACCGGCCACCTCTGATCTACAATAGTCTCACTTTTTATGTAATTTTTTCCTATTTCGAATTTTAACATTAAGAATAAAATTAGAATAATTTGTAACAAATGTTTATCAATACAACAAAACAGGTGTACGAATAATTATCATATTTGGATTCCTTAATTTCATAGGAAATTTGTAATAAGGTGGGAACTTTTATTGTATTCATGGCTATCTGCCTCCTCTAATAGTCCCCACCCTAAAAACATCTTTGGATGACATTATAGTAGTAAAAAGACAAAAATTAAGGTAAAATAAAGTTAATTTAAAATATTTAGAGGAATTGAAACAAAATAATTCTTTTTATTAAAATTAATGTTTTTAATTTTTAATGTTTTTATGGCCAAAAAGACAGAGCTGCTGAGAAAAGCAAAATATATTGCAAAAGCAGAGTTTTCATTTTATTTAATTTAATATTTCCTAACATTCGAAGACCGAAGAAGCATATATGTCTTGAAAAAGGAAATAGTAAGAAAGATAAAACTAGAATATTTTTTCGGCTATGTAATCCTAAATCAATAAAATTTAAAAATTAAGAGGGAACATTATCCAAATATCCTGATCCGAAAACGTCTGAATATCAGAAAATTTCAGTTCGATTTCTGGAACTACCAGAGCCTAATCTAAGTTGGTCACCTGTGAAGGGCAATGATCGAACCCCGCCCTGTAAAATAAATTTTTACGTTTTAAAAAAATTGGGCTTAACAAATCGACATTAATAAGATATAAAAATAACCACGAGTCCTGTCAAAATGAATCCAGCTGCAATTATATATGGTCGATCGTATTTGTATTCTCGAATATCCATTTCCAGACCATCTACCTTCCTAATTAGAATATTAATTCGACGCCTCAATTGTTTGATTTCTTCTAGTGGATTCTTTTCAACGGCAATTGATGTCTATAAATGAAATTATTCTAAAGAAAGGAGAGAAGTCATAATAAATTACCGGATTGTCTGTATCACAACTTAATGCAATATTGACTGGTGTTCGTTGGAAATCACCAGTTGGAAGCTCGTTGGCCTAGATTTAAAAGGAGGGAAATTGTTTTTAGATAAAGACATTGTTCCTAAAAAGTTTTGGAAGTTAAAAATCCATTTAGTGAGGAAAAATTCGAGATAATAATTGGGTTTTTATTCGAGAAAATGGTTAACCTTCTCATTTTTTTAATATTCCTTTACATTGCCTATAATAACCAACACTTTATGTTCCAATATTTTAGGAAGACTAATAGGAAAAGCAAAAAAGGAGAATTTAGCGTGTAATTAAGGTGAAAAAAACTTTAAAGTTAACTTAAGATCCCTTTCGTGACTATTACAAAAATATATTTTCTTAAATACTCACTGTCAAGGTAGGCGGTATCCCATTGACACTAAGATCCTCCTGGAAATGTAATTTATAAAAATAAAATAGATATAAAAACCGAGGCATTTGACATCATAGCTTGACGTTCTCGAATCACTTCTGTCGGTTGTGCTTTGGCAGCTGCAGTCTTATCACCACCTTCAACTGTTATTCGACTGGGAACGACCATTTGAGGACGAATATCCTTCTGACCAGGTTTACGCTCCACACCAGCCACATAAATATGATCGGGAACTTCCATTGGGAGATATTCTTCTGTAGTTGTTGGAGCGTACCTAGAAACCGTAGGAAAACTCTAATATTTTTAGACTCAAGATTTTTAATCAACTAACTCAAACTATCGATACTAATTAGTTAGATAATTTTAACCTTGATGCCTTTGTTCCAGCAGCAATATTCTTACTCATAGTAGTTGTTTAACAAGAAATTAACAAGAAAAGCTTCTAAAAACTCGATTTAAAAAATCTGAACAATAAAAAATTATGTATTTGGTATAATTGTGCAGTAACACAAAAAATTTTTTGACAAGAATAAAATTCAATTTACACAAAAATCAACGAAAACTATTACAAATAATCAAATTATTTCCCTAAATTTTTTTATAAAATTTCTATGCAGAAAGGCATTTAAGCCTTAGCGGGTCTGTATGTGGCTGAACAGCATATTCCTTAGATGCTTTTACACATTGGACCATTGTTGGAGATGCTCTAGTAATTGAATTTGTTAACCAAAAATCAGGCAAAGACTGTTGCTTCGGTTCCAAACTTTTTGGTTGATGCGTTGTCTTTGCTGCTTCTTCTTTCTTAAGGTAAACAAAATATTAAAAGATAGAAGACAAAGAAAGAAACAAACTGAAAGAGTAAAAGCCTGTCGAAAGAAATTTGCGTCTTCAACTTGACCATAGCGAGACAGATGTGGAGCTACCTAGAAAAATTATAAAGAGATTTAAATAGTTAAATTTAAAAAATTTCAGCTTATCAAATTGAAAAATAAATGAAAATATATGAAATAGCTCAGAGGAAATTCAATAACCCAAAGATTATTAAAAATAATTTAAAAAAACCTCTGATAAACGTTGTCGAGTTTCAGTAATTGTGTCGTAAGGCAATTTTTTACCGGCCACTTCACTTAATGCCCTAATAATCTTCCAATCCACACGAGCATCTCCAGGTGGTGTAACAGCAGGATAACTAAAGAAAATTGAGAAATTTGAGAAATAGAAGAATTTTACCCTCGCTGAGGTCGTCCTTCAGTATTTACCCATGTAGCCTCCTTTTCTGTATATGCAGCTCCAGGCAAAATTATATCAGCAATTTCTGCTCCCGAATCACCATGATGACCTAAAATATTTATTTTAACATAATTAAAAATATAGCCGGACTTGTGGCTATATTTTTTTGTTTGTGCGGACAAATTATATGTACTAAAGAGAACAATCCGATTCCAGATACTTCCCTAGTCACTAATAATTTCTCCGATGACAACTGCATTCTAATCAATTTTTCCCACAGACCCCAGCAAAACGGTAATGACAAATTTTCATAGTAAAATATTCTTTCAACGGAAATGAATAAAAGACGGGTTGGGAGAGTGCAGGTCAGTCAAAGTACACAAAAATGATGAATAACCTCAAAGTACAAAATCGCCTAAATACCTTGATAAATAACAAAAACGTCTTCGTGAAAATCTTTTTTAGAAATGTGTTTATCATCTGCACCAAACAAATAAAGCAGTTTTATTGATTTCTTCAGTTTTGAATCAAAAAGATTAAAGGGCTTATAACCGAGATCAAAAGAAGCAACTTGACTAGCATTTCCATGCAAAACATTTAGAATTTTCGGCGGCGAATCTAATAAATTATAAAATTTAGAAACTTTTTAATAAAATTAAATTTAAAAATAAAATTTAAAAAACCAAATTTTTCATAAACAAAAATGCTTATGGCTAAGTGGTATCACTTTCGGTTCATCCCTGTGGAAGGATAGGTTCGAACCCAGTCAGAGTAAGGCAATTTTTTCGTCTCAATTTAACTTATTTTTAAACTTTCTAGGATAAATTAGCCTTCAACTAAAAACAAAGCTTGCAAAATGCGCAAATTTAAGCTTGCACAATTAATTTTTAAGATATGGAAAAAAATATACCAATTTTGCGTTCCGATAATTTATTTTGAATAATTTGAGCCAATTGTTGTAATTTACAATGCAGCATATCAGTACCATTACCTTCAAGTGCTTGCGATCCAACAATAATTAAAGGGTTTTGTGCTGCCAACAATTTCTAGAAACAATTTTAAAATATAGTTTTTTCAGAAGGATTGTTAGCACTAAAAGACTTTTAAATCGTTTTGTGAGGTTAAAAATATTAATTCTCAAAAGCTAAACAAAAAATAATTATATTGCTTAATGTTAATTCCTATCTGATTTTATTGGAAATAAAAAAGAAACTTTAAAAAACGCATTTTTTCCATCAATTAAATCATCCAAAATAGAAGAATTCGACCCCAAATAATGATATTCATAAGTTAAATCAACATTGCTTCCAATCACTCCAATTTCCATATCAGAATAAATAAAACTTTAAAAATAAAAATTTTAAACAGAAAATAAACAAAAAACTAAACGCTTTGCGAATTCTGGCATTTAAAACTGGAGCTTCATAACGAGGATTTGTACCGACAAGAAGAAGCAAATCACAATTTTCTATTGAAGTAATTTTGTCGTTGAAAAGATAATTTGATCTTAAAATGAAAAAATAAGCGAGAGAGTTAAAAGAAAACCTCAAATCAATTCCTCCACACGAATTTGGTAATTCACCTTCACTAAAAATATTTTCACTGTCAAAACGATTTAACAAATCTTTTAGTGCCAACAACCCTTCTGAAAAAACAAAATTGAAAAAAATATTAAAATGCAAATTAATAATAACTTCAGAGGAATTTAATCAAAAAAGTGAAGAGAAAATGTCGATTATTGATACCCCGAAAGAAATATATTAAAATTTCTAATTTACCTGTATCAACTAAAGAACCAGCAAGACAAGCAATGGCGCTAGGTGGAGTTTGACGAAGTTTTTGGGCACTCATAAAAAGTGCTTCTTCCCAATTACAAGGTCTAAAAATTTTTTTTCAATATTCTTAAATATTTTTTACAAATTTACATTAAAACTCCTTGGTCATTTTTAATCATCGGTTGCAGCAATCTTTGCAATTTTAATCCATCACAAATAAACCGACCTTTATCTGACAGCCATTCCTCATTTATTTCCTTAAAAACAAAAAAAAGTTTAAAAATAAATTAAATAATAAACATCATTCATTCGCGGTATTATTCGTAGAACTTCACCGGTACGATGAGAAACAACTACATTAGATCCAAGAGCATCCATAACATCTATACTTTCAGTTTTGCGTGTCTCCCATGGACGGGCAATAAAACTTAAAATGGAAAAATTTTGATTAAGATTTAATTAAGAAACGGAAAAAGTCGAAGGATTTTGATAGAAATAAAAAATATTTTTCGCAAGTAAATTAACCTATATTGTTTGCTAGTCAAAGCGCCAACTGGGCATAAATCAATAACATTTCCAGACAATTCTGAGGCAAATAACTTTTCTACATAAGTCCCAACTTGCATATCAGAACCACGCCCGGTAGAACCAAGGTCAGGAACACCAGCAACTTCATTAGCAAAACGAATGCATCGAGTACAGTGAATACAGCGAGTCATAATTGTTTTAATTAAAGGCCCAATATCTTTGTCTTCCACCGCTCTAAAATTGAGGAAATTAAAAATACAATAATAAAAGTAAAGCGCTCATGAGAGCAATATTGGGAGTAATAGGAAAAGTTAGTCAGCCGCAAGCCAAGCACACTCACCACTACACCAGCAAAATTATCTCATTATTTAATGTTTATATTTAAGAGGGGAAAATTATGGCAAATTTTGGGACTTTGGAGGGCCATATCTTGGCCAGATCAAAAAACGGGCAAAAACGGCAAAAAATCCTTGCTAGAAAGGGCACATTCTCTATCGAATGAGCCCGGTCTCGACCGTTTTTAGCTCGGACACCTCGCAACCTTCCCTAGTAAGTAGATTAAAAATAACTGCAGTGATATTATTCAAAAACCTTTTCTCGTCAAAAGCAACTTGAAGACGACTACGGTCCGATCCAAATGCCATCGACTGATCCTGGAGATCGCACTCACCTCCCTTCAAATAAAATTCTCACAATCAATTTAAATAAAAAAAACCTGGTCGCAAATCGGGCAATCTAGAGGATGATTAACCAATAAAAATTCCATCACAGCTTCACGAGCCTTTTTTGTAGCTGGTGAATTTGTTTTGACTTTCATTCCAGGCATAACCGGCATTGCACAGGATGCAACAGGTTTAATTGATTTTTCAACTTCTACTAAACACATTCGGCAATTCCCGGCAATTGAGAGACGATCATGATAACAGAAACGTGGAATATCTACACCAACCAATGCGCATGCCTTTAAGAGAATAACAGATATTTTGTTAGTACTACGTAAATTATGACCTATAATCACATAAAAGGATAGGGTTAAAAAGGACGAACAGGATGGGGTTCATGAGATTGATTGTGAGAATTATAAACCCGGGATTCTGAAAACTATCTTGGAAAATCCCATGACATCGACCGTTATTCCTCTCCTCGCAATTAGTTAAAACTTATAGACCTGAAGTATTGTCATTCCTGGTTCAACCAAAATCTTTTTGTCGTCAATAAACACCTCCACCTAAAAAAAAGTAATATAGCAAATAAAATATAAACAAAAACCTTTTTGGGGGCAACCGCAACAGAATAATTCCGAAACAACATCTTGGTAAAAAATAGTTTATTTAATAATGCGCCTCGTTCAAACATTTTATAATTCTGCAAAATTAATAAAAGGATTAGAATAAGAAAAAATAAACAACAGGAAATCTAAACAAGAAGAAAAGGCTAGTAAAAATCTCTTTCTAACAGATGTTTTTAATGAAGAGATGCGACCCTTCACAGCATTATCAGCCCGTACATTATCAGCAAGTCGACACAGCGATAAATCTAGCTAACTAATACCCGGCAAAATCATTTTTCCGGCTGTTGCCTGATCTCAGTTGGCCGCTCTCAGTTGATGGCGCTCAACCGACCCTTCGTGTTTTTTACAAAATGTAAGCGACAAATGGAATCTGACTCAAATGGGACACGCCCGATTAGGCGCGGGCCGATTAGGCGCGACCGATTAGGCGCCGGCCGATTAGGCGCGCGGCCAATTAGGCGCCGGCCGATTAGGCGCCAACTTTTTAATTAACACCCCCTTCCATAAGGCCTCCGCGGAAAAAAGTTTTTGCCGCTGCGGAGGAAGCCGGGCATGTCGAGCGGAACGACGGCCGCCGCTTCGCTACGGTCGCCGCGAGCGAAGCGAGCACGACCGCAGCGAAGCACGGCCATCGTGTAGCGAAGACCATGCCCGGCCTACCCTCCGTAGCAGCACAAAAACAGTTTTTCCAGCGAAGATTCAGTTGGTCATAATTTTGTCAAAAATCATCCAATTGAGCTGATTCTGGTCTCATTCGACTCAGCTCTTCGAGCCCGTTCGAATGACATATAAATTGGCCAATTTTGAGTCTGGTACGTAAACTGTAGTTAGGACGGTTTTTTAATTTTGGAAAATTTTTTGTAAATTTTTTGTTTTATAATTCAGAATGGTTCCATTTGATGGTCGATGGGACCATTCTAATTGACTATAATCAGAATATTTAATTAAAAGCTTGGCGCCTAATCGGCCGGCGCCTAATTGGCCGCGCGCCTAATCGGTCGCGCCTAATCGGTCGCGCCTAATCGGCCCGCGCCTAATCGGGCTGTACCCGACTCAAATGTAATTAAGAAAAATGGTCAGAAGTGAAACAAGTTATTAAATGTCCAGGGGAAGAAAATGGACAACCCTCTCATCCTTTATTTGTCCCGATCTATTTTTTGAAACAAATTTTGATTTAATTGTATTTGTTAAGATTTCTTATTAAAATGGTTATGTTAACAGTGTTAAAGAAAAGTCGGCGGAAGGAACAAGAAATGAGAGTATTAATTCTTGGTCTAGACAATTCCGGGAAGACAACATTTTTGAATAAATTGTGTGGTGAAGATACTAAGGAAATTGCACCAACATTTGGTAAATTTAAAGAATTTATCCAAATTTTTTTATTTTAGGGTTTAATATAAAAACTGTTGAGCACAATGGATGGAAATTAAATTGTTGGGATGTTGGGGGACAAAAATGTTTGCGGCCTTATTGGAGGAATTACTTTGAGAGAACAGATGCTGTTATTTGGGTAGTTGATTCTTCTGATACTTCTCGTATTGACAATGACTGTAGAAGGGAACTTAATTTGTTGCTAGATGAAAGCTGTCTTCATGGTGTTACTCTTTTAATTTTGGCAAATAAATGCGATCTAAATGGATCTCTTGATACCGAAGCTATTCAGAAGGTTATAATGATTATTTGGAATATTTTTTAAAAACTTTGAAAAAATAAGACGTTTCCCTTTGAAAAATTTTTTGGTATTGCTGGAGTTTTGTTAATGAGCCGAGGTGCAAGGTTCGATCCCTGCCAGTTTATTGCAAAATATTCGGAGACCTTACCATTGAGGATTGAACTTTACATAAAGCCAGAATATCTATTGTTCTAGTCTAACATTTCGGTTGTAGATCAAATACTCTGACCAGAAAATTATTTCTATAAAAATAAATTTACAAAATTTAGTTACTCAAATTGGAGTCTATAACAAAGCACAGATGGCGAATTTTTAGAACAAGTGCTTACACTGGCGAAAATTTACTTGAGGCATTGGAGTGGCTTTGTAATGATATTTCTTCAAAGATTTTAGTTGAATAATTATTTTAATTTATGTTCTTTATTTAAATTTAAGCTGTGTAAATAAATTTGACAAAAATTAAAAAAAAACTAAAAATATTTAAACTGTTCTGAACTGAAATTTTCCTGCTTTTGTAATATATTTCACCCCTTTAAAAGGTTTATAAGCTTCTCCATGCATATCCAACCTATTAACTTTAAGTCCAGACACTGCCAATTGATTGATTTTAAACTGCGCTACTATTGGAGGGGTTTCTAATTGTCCTTTACTTGAAGGGGCTATTGATATCTAGAAATGTAAAAAACTTAAATTTTATACTGGTTGTTCACGATTGGGATTCTAACCAAAAAAATAAAGTTTGAGGGATTGTTCAGATCGGGGTCCTTAACTGAAAACAATGATGTATCCAGAGGGGGACGGATTTACCCAAGAATTTTTTAGTTGAATATTAAAAAAAACCAAACCGTTCCCTTCAATGTCGGTGGTCTTCCCAATTCTATCCTCTTAATAGTCCATTGAAGCAATTTTGTTGTTGGATCAAACGAATATTTTCCATGACTAGCCAATAAATTACAATTTTGTACAGCTTTTGGCATTTGACATTCAATTATAACATCTTCCAAAATTTTTCCCATACTTTGTTTCGGACCAACGGTAATTTCAAAACGGCCAGATGCCCCACTTTTTAGCACAATGTTGTGTCTAATATAGAGGGGAACAGCAACGACACTAAAAAAATAATTAGATAAATTGGAAAACTATCATTTTTGTAAATTTTTCGGCTCACAACTAAATTCTCAGGTCAACTTGCACATTTGCCTATTTTTAGATAACACCTCAAAAATAAAATTCTTTCATAACAATTAAAAAAACGTATTCTTGATTAAAGGTTTGGATTTTGCACAGTTCTAGGTTTATTTATTGGATCACTAAATAATTTCCGCAAACCAAAGTCATTTCTTATATCAAAAATTGGGTATACTGGCTAGAATCTTTACGCTGTGTTTGATGTCAATTAAAATTTTCAAAAAAAAATTTAAATAAAAAACCTTTGCGAACTAATATTATAGGAGATAAGACGAAAATTTCCATCAGGAGGAATAAAAGAAAGTAAACGTTCCGTCTCCCATCGTTTGAATCGAACACAAGGGTGGAACGAAACATCATCCAAAATTCTTGGATTAGCAAAAGTCATTGTAAGGTCAGGCATTCCAGAGAGTCGACAGCAACAATTTATCTACAAAAATATGTAATGTCAAGTAGTTATAGTGAGAAGAGGTGGGGGGGGTGTTTAGTTTGTAAGGGTTAGAACTTCTGCATGCGAAAAGTCAAAAAGTTTTGTCTGATTTTCCGATTAAATTGAGAATTTCAAATTTAAATTCAATTAAAATTAGAATATGTACAAGACGGGAAAATTCTTATTACGTATATATAACCTCCATTTAAATCATAAAAATTGTAAATTTTAATAAATTTAAAACCCCGCATTTTATACTTACACTTCCATGTATTTCTGCAGATATTGTCCCTCCCTGTTTGTCTATTATTGCATCAATTTCTTCAATTACATCAAAATAAGCTTCATTGTTTGCATATTTGACATCCGCTCTACGCCAAGGAACATTCTTAAATTAAAATATTTTTTAGAAGTTTGTTATCAAGAATAAATTTACAGATAATTGTCCTGTCGGTAAAACATTCGAAATATTTGTTTCTCCAGTTACATGATTTTTCAAAGAACGTAAAAAATTAGGAGGCTTGATAAGATCTTGTAAGACATTCATTTCTGTACATAAAGGGTATCCATTGTCGAGAATTTCATCTAAAATCTGAAAGAAAGGTTTCTGTTTTTTTAAGATTTAAGAAATTTTTTCTGTGAACAAAACAATATCAATCAGCTAACATACAGTTAAACCCCAAAAAATTTAAAATTACTTCAAAAACAATAACGATGTTATCCTTAATTGTTGTATCAGAACATTCATCAAAATATTCAGTAAAAATAGCAACAATTCTGTTAAGCATTTCAATTATCATTAAAGGGGGTGCTAAAAATAAATAGTAATCATTAAGAAAGGAAAAAACAAACAAACTTTCAACTAAACAAACAGCCAAAAAATACAAATTTTTGTGATAAACAACATGTAAATAATGATGAGGAGAAACAATAACTGGAGGTATATCTTCTTTATTTAAAGCCTGTTTTTGTACATCGAAAAAATAATCACAAACAGAACGATGAATGACTGATTTATAATGTTTTTCCAAAATTACATCGCTTTTAAAATGAAAGAATTTTTATTTAAAAAAGTTCAAGAAGAGAACTTACTGGGAAGTATTCACAATAAATATACTGTTGATCATAATAAAAAGAGAATATAAATTTAATAAATTTAATAAAGTTTATTAAGAAAGTTTAGATCAAATTGATTCTCACTCTAACAAATTAGACAATTTTTTAAAATTTTGTAAATTTTGGCAAAATGTTGTTTTCCGACATTTCATCCATTTTTGGCTTGCTCTCCTCTTTTTGTTTACTATTTCGCTTAAAATTTTATTTTTTTATTTTGTGAGGAGCTTTGATTTCATTAATTTTTTTAGACTTTTCAATCATTTTTTTTTAATTTCAGACCATTTTAAAGAGAAAAATCAATTTTAAAAGTTTAGTTATTATTTTTATTTATGGCTGAAAACAACGCTAAACGAACTTCTGGTGAAGGTGAAAGTCAACTTGAATCAAAAGAGGCTCCATATGGTGCAGAATATGCCAAAAGTGGAAGAGCTACGTGTAAAGGATGTAAAGAACCAATTGAAAAGGTTTTTTTGATTTTGTTTTAAATTTAAAAAAATAAATTTTAGGGGGCATTGAGAATGTCTGTCCGTTTCCAATCAAAATTTTTTGACGGCTTTCAGGATAATTGGTATATTTTAAAATTTATTTTTAAATATAAATTTTGTTAAGGCACCATTTTGAGTGTTTCTGGAAAAAGGCTCGTAAAAACGACATTAATGAAGTGTCAATCCGTGGATTAGATTGGCTTAAATGGGAAGATCAAGAACTTATTCGTCAACGCATTAATGAACTTGCAGGTTTTTTAACAAATTTTCATTTATTATTGAAAACGTCAATGGGCGCTTTAGACATTTCCCCTACTTTTTACAAATTTTTAATTCTTTCATTAAAAATTTAGCCTCCGGCGATTCTGGCTACACACCTAAAACAGCAACAATTAAAGTAGAACATGCAAAATCTGGCACAGGAAAATGTTTTTCATGCAAAGAGAAGATTCCAAAGGATGAACTTCGCATTTCTGGCCGTTCTTCCTTTTATCACGTTGATTGTTTTCATACAGCAAATTCTGATCATAAATTATTTCAAAAAAGTGCAGAAGAGTGAATTTTTTTTATAAATTTTTAAAATTTATTTTTTTAATTTTAGAATTGTTGGATATAACCAATTGGATGCTGATGAAAAATCAAAATTGGAAAGACTTTTCCCAAAGCCTCAATCTACCGGGCAAAAAAGAGAATTTGATAATTCTGCTACCACTAGTGGAACTTCTAATGAAACACCAGTGATGAAGAAAGGAAAAACGGAAAATGATGAACTCAAGGCTGCTTTGAAGGTATTTTATTGAAGATTAAAGGGAAACTGGACCTGAAATCTTCGGTTTTTCAAAACCTATAAATCTATGCGCAAACGAACCAGGCCAACCATGATCTTTGGGGGGGGGGCAAGGGGGAAATTTTTCTCCGCCTAATTTTTGTGACGAATTAGTTATAGGCCCGCAACCCCCTGGTTATGGCCTGAAACAAATATTTTTGTTTCGATTGATTGAAATCGTTTTCAATTTTGAGTTGACAATTCTCTGTCTTGTATTGCTAGTATTACTTAGTGATTTTAATTTTTTTAGAATCAATCAGATGTTTTATGGAAATTAAGAGAAGAATTAAAGAAAAATTTAAATCATGAGGAAATGGAGGAACTTTTAGTTGCAAATAAAAGCTACAAATCAAAGAAAGGAGGTCCTGAAAGGATGTTGGATAAATTGGTGGATATGATTGCCTTTGGACCAGCACAACCATGCCCTCAATGCAACAAAACTTTGACTTATTAGTAATTTTTTTCATTTATGAAGAATAATAATTTTTATTCTTGTTAAGCACCGATATACATGCCTATCGTTGTTCTGGAAGTGTTACCGAATATACTCGCTGTCTTTATACAACAAAGAAGCCTGGACGTACTCAATTCCGCATTCCATCAGATATGAAAAAAGAAAATAAATATTTGAAGAAATTGAAATCTCCTGTAAATTTTTCTTTTCTTAAATTTATTAAAATATTATTTCAAGTTGCTTGATGAGCGTGTTTATCCAGCAGCTGCATTTGAAGAAAAGCCTCTTAGCGGATCTAAAGCATTTGGTTATCTCAATTACGCTAGAAATGAACAGGCAAAATCTAAAGGTTTTTTTATTTTTATATTAAAACGTCCTTATGTTTCGTTTTTTAATTTTTCACTGGGGTTAAATATATTTTTAAAAATTTAATACTTCTTAGTAAATGAAAATAACAATCAAAAAATGGTCGTAAAAGGTGGATATGTTGTTGATCCAAGATGTGATGTGGCAGAGACGACGCATGTCTATGTTGATCCAATTACAAGTTTGTTTCATTGCCTTATTCTGCATTTATCCTTTTTTTTAAGAACATCCGTGGCAAGTTAATTTGTCAGCTGTTGACATAACTACTGGAAAAAATTCGTTTTACAAATTGCAGATAGTTAAAGACGATAAAGGCTCAACGTTTGTTATTTTTATCAAAATATTTTTGACATTATTTTCTTTTACAGATTTTATCTTTTCCGAGCTTGGGGAAGAGTAGGAACAACAATTGGTGGGGTAAAAACTGAAGATTATGGAGAAGATTTAGAAGCTTGTCAGAAGGAATTTAAATTTCAATTCCATGACAAATGTTTTAATACTTGGGAGGATTATGTTGAAGGAAATTTTAAGAAAGCTCCGGCTGGAATGGATATTTTGGAAATGGACGAACAGAAAGTATGTTGCTTTTAATAAATTTCTGGCAATTTATTATTGCAAGAAGGAGATATGTATGATATTAGTTTGTATTAATTTTTCTATTTTAGAATGATGAAAAAAAGACAAGAAAGCTTACAATTAGCGTTGAATCTTCTAAATCAAAACTACCAAGAGAAATAAAGGAGCTAATTTCCTTGGTTTTTGACGTGAAAGCAATGCAAAATGCAATGATGGAATTTGAGGTTTTTTTAAATCTTTTGAATTTTGTTAAAATTAAATTTATTTTTAGATTGATTTGGAAAAAATGCCTTTGGGGCGCCTTTCAAAAAATCACATTCTTAAAGCTTACAAAGTTCTCAAAGATTTGCAATTTGCTTTGGAGAAACCAGAAGGTCCTTCAAAAAATGAAGTTCTCGACTTTACAAATCGTTTCTACACATTAATTCCTCATGCGCTAGGATTTGGCCCTCCTCCATTTATTAACAGTCACGAAATTTTAATTGTTTGGAATCTTTTATATTTTTTTAAATAAATTTTTCAGTCAAAAACTTCAATGTTAGACTCCCTTTTGGACATTGAAATTGCTTATAATATTTTGAAGACAGATCAAAATGAAATGGAAGAGAATGGAACTAAAGATATTTTTGATTTGCATTATTCTAAATTAAATTGTTGTATGGAGGTTTTTTTGTTAAAATTTATTTTTAAAAATATTTTGGAATTATTTAAGGTTCTAGATAAAAAATCGGAGGAATTTGGTTTAATTAATCGTTATTTGGCAAATACCCATGCATCGACTCACACAATTAAATTGGAAATTATTAATGTTTGTTAAAGTTTTTTTTGATTATTAAAAATTAATTTTAATAAATTGAGTAACCAAAAAGATTAATTAAATACTTACAATTAGCATTTTATTTTTCTATTAGATCATACCCAAAAAACTTTTTTGAAAAACTAATAGATTGACTTGTTATAAGTAGTTTGTTAGTGAATTGCGACAATTTTATGGTTTCAGTTCCTATTGGTCTTCAATACCAAATATAATTAATTTAATACTTGTAAAGATTTTATTTTTAGGTACTTAAAATTCAGCGTTTAATGGAAGTAAAAAATTTTAAAAAAGAAATGGGCAATCGTTATTTGCTTTGGCATGGAAGTCGTTTAACAAACTATGCTGGAATTTTGAGTCAAGGGTTGAGGTAAAATATTCAATTATTTGGGGAAACTTGATATTTTGTAAATTTTAAATAAAAATCCCAAAATATAGATAAAATTTATCTTTTCTTTAATTATTTTTAAATTCTTTTTAGAATTGCTCCACCCGAAGCTCCTGTAACAGGATATATGTTTGGTAAAGGAATATATTTTGCTGATATGGTTACAAAATCAGCTAATTATTGTTACGCAATGTCTGGGGAAGGATTACTTTTGCTTTGTGATGTTGCTTTGGGAGAAATACAAGAAGAAGTTGATGCTAAAGATTTGAAAAAACCTAAAAGGGGGAAAAATAGTGTTAAAGGTTTGTTGACATTTTGAGTGGTTATTGTTTGATTTTTAAATTATTTTAACAAAAAATTTAATTTTCAGGTATTGGCGGTACTTTCCCTAATCCAAAAGAAAATGTTCAATTTGACGAAATGACTATTCCCTGTGGTAAACCAATTAATTCAGAAAAGAAAAAATTGTCTCTTCTTTACAACGAGTATATTAAAATTAATTTTTAAATTAAAAAATAACTATTATTTTAGATATATTGTTTATGATGAATCGCAAGTTCAATTACGTTATATTGTTCGTGTTAAATTTGACAGTGGAAATTTGCTTTAAAAATGATTTTTTGGAAGGAATGGATATTTATTAAGTTTTGTCAAATGCTCTAATTTTTATTTACTTTAAAAAATTATCTATTTTTGTATTAGAGATTGTGGATCTTCTGGATTATTGATATAAAATTAGATTAAAAATAATTTTTTGACAATTTTTGATCTCTAATGCATAATTAACGACTTATTTTAATTATATTAATGCTTGGAAGATTTCGATTTATTTATCAAAAAAAATCCCACTAGACTGTCTACTAGGTTTATCTGTTAACTTAAATAAAATTTATCTCCTTTATAAAATGCCTTTTAAATTCTAAGCATTAAGCCTTATATAATATTGACTCAATTTCCTTTTATTATTTTACAAACAATTTTTGTCGTACAAAAATTTGAATAATTTTTTGGTTATTTAATACAAATTAGAGTTCGGCCCCATCGCCGGGAAAAGGGATTCCCCGGGGATTTATGAAGCGACTTCTAAGAACAGGCTCCGGATCTGGAGCCCGGATTTACCCCTCCGTATCGAATAATTTTTACTATAATAGAAATTTTATTAAAATTTCTTTTCCTATATTGGGGCATTGCGGAGGTTCCCCGTACAAGAATTCCCCGCAGCCCCCGTTCCCCCTAAAATTAGTCCCCGCCCCGACAGGTCGCACTATAACACATACCCTATAATTATTTAAATTAAATATTATTCCAGCTTTTTTTTAAATTAAATAAATTATTTTTCTTTTTATTTTTCAAAATTTCATCATAAGAATATTTTTTTAATTTTTAGAGACAGACATTTAAAAATTAAAAGAAAAAATTAAAATTAACTAAAATTTAAATTCTCTTTTATTTTTTTCTATTGATCAAAAACTGAAATTTGTATTTAATTTAAAAAATAATTTTATAGACACACACAAACACTTTTTATTACTTTTTTTAAATTTAAATTTTTATTTTAATTTGCGCAATTTTACGCTCAAATTGAGAAAATAAATTAAAAAATTTAAAATAAAGAACATGTGTTTAGTATATTTTTTCTAAATATTCCCCCCCCCCCCTCCTCCCAATTTTCGCGTATTTGAACTATATTTATAAAAGAACTTTTTTAGTATTTACTCCCTCACTTAAATTTCGAAAAAAAAATTTTAAATAAATATTTACCAATTAAAATACACCAAAAATTAAAATTACGTAAAAAATGCTCCGAATAGAAAATTTTCTTTTGTTGTTATCAACTGTTTTGACATATTCTGCTGTATATGATCGATATTCTCCTTATTGGAATAAACCGGAAAGGTTTGGAAATAGGAAAATCTCTGTCTTATCCTGTCCTAAGAAGGGATAACTTGAAGATAACATATCTGAAATACCCCATCCATCAAAATACTGACCGAATATTCTGCTTCTAAGAATGTGCTGTTAGATTTAATATTTATAGTAGAGTTGGGCGGGAGGGGGGGGGGGGGATCCCGGTTTTTTAATCACTACCGATTTTGCTAGTCCTGATACCGCGGTCGGGATTGGGATCGGGATCATCCAAATCCCGATACAGATTTTGGCCTATCTCTATTCCGCCTAACTCTAATTTTTAGTGTTGCCACCGCCCCAAGGTCTAAGTTATCCGTGAGAAAAATCCCTACTAAGCCTGGGTGCCGTTATATAACAATTAAGGTGTATCTTAAATTAATGATACTTTTAAAGGATAAAAATCAACCGAACAATAAATATCAAAATTGAATTATTGGCTAATTTTGGAGTAAATGAAAGAATGAAACAAGCTGCTAAACAAGCGATTTTACAGAATTTCTCGGGAAAATGGCCGGATACTGGAAATGAATCTAATTTAATTGGAGAAGTACATAAATTTATTAATGTTTAAAAATTGGAAGAATAATTTTGAGTAATTTTAAATAAACTCTCATGCTGGTAGTAACAATGCTAACTATCTGCAGATAAATCGCTAGCTGCAGATAAATCCGTAGTAACAATGCTAAAGATTAAAATCCGTAGTACTATCCGCAGCTAAAGAACAAAAAAATCGGTAGCTTTAGCTGCAGATACCTATCCATAGTAACAATGCTAAGGATAGGGTAGCGGATAGGGTATCGGCTAGGGTAGCTACGGATAAAATCGCTAGCCTCCTATTTAGGTGGATAGTTGCATTATTTTAAATATTTAAAAAATTATAATAAATTTTAAAAAATTATTAAAAATTCAAAATAAAAAGAATTTAGTTAAAAATAAATTAATTTTCATTTTTAAAAATTTTTTCGTCAAAAAAAATAAATTTCAAAAATTTTGAAAATTCAATTAAAATAATTCTGTGCTATATTTGACCTAATCCCAAATCCATCAATATTATTCTCATTTAAATCGTTTTGAATTTCTGGCTGATCATCGTTTAAATTTTCATCATCGAAATTTGGCATACCTTCTGCTACAGCAATATTATGTAAAACTGCCGCGGCCATTATAAACATTCCAATATTTTCCAGCTTAATTCGTATAGGTGTTTGTAGGGCATGGAAACGCTTCTTCCATCTTCCAAATGTCTGTTCAATAATGACACGCGTCCTGACATGCGCAGCATTAAATCGTTGTTGGGCAGCTGTTGTAGGATTGAGAAAAGGTGTCAGCAACCACTTACGGCATGGATAACCGCTATCACCTTAATAATTTTTCAAAAAGAAATGAATAAAAATAAATACCTAACAAAATTCCTCGTAATTGTCTACGCTCAAAACTGTTCCACACCTCCGAGTGCCTTAAAATAAACGAGTCATGACAGCTACCAGGCCAACGGCAATTGATGTTTAGAAAACGTCCTTTATTATCAACAACTGCTAAAATACTTGTTTAATGAATCATAGATAAAAATAAACTGACCTTGCACATTGATGCTCGACCAACCCTTTCTATTGTAGTAATCTCTTCCATGCTGCTTTTCTGAAGGGGTAAGGATTGGGATATGTGTGCAATCAATCAATCCAACAATATTAGGCATACCGGCAATAGCATTAAAAGCAGGAACAGTATTATTCCTCGCCTGAATTCAAATGATTTGAAAAATTTTTAAAAGTTTTTACTTGTTCATACTCCTCAAAGAAGATAAAATCTCCAGCCTTTAAACAGAGTGCTCTCGTCACGCGACGAATCGAGTTTGAAACAGACTTTTGTGAAATTCCTAGAATGTCACTGCACCATATTTGAAAAGTAGACGCAGCTAAGTATCCTAAGGTTGCCAAAACTTGCATTTCTGTTGATAAAGCACCAGATTTTCCTGTTCTCGGTTCCACTTCAGGCCGGACAATATCACAAATATACTTAAATTTAATATCAAAATTTGATTAAATAAACTAAAACCTTAATTCCTCGTCTATTAAATCTGAATCTTTTTAGTAAATCCTCATCCGAAAATGTATTCAATAAATCATTTCTTCTCAAATAAATTTTTTCATTTCGTTGATTTCTGCCATCATCCTCTTCTTCAAACGGCATAAAACATACAAAAGCCATTCTGAAAATAATACAAATATTTAAAAACTTTAAAATATTAAAACATTTTAATAAATGTAAATTAAAAATTAAATGTAGTATAATCATTTATTCAAAAATAAATTTCAAAAAAATTAGTCAAACATGTTATGATTCATAAAATTTTCGGCCTGATTTAAAAAATTCAATTCCTTCTTCCATAAATTTGTTTGCTTTTGTTAAATATTCTTTTTGCATTTCGATTCTTTCCATCTCGCCTTTAAGGACCTTTAATTTGAGATCTTCGATTTCCAATGCTTTTGGACGAATTGGAATTCTAGAAGTTGTTGGGGTGTCACATGAATGTCGGCTCTTAAAAATTAAATAAATTAAAATTTAATGATTTAAATTTAAAATTTATTTTGACATTTTTTGGTCTTAACAATTCAAAATTCAAAAAAACCTGCCTTTTTAATATTACCACTATTTGGAGTCTCCATCTGTTAGTCATCTCTGGTGTGAATACCATTTTAATAAAGATAAATGAAAAATTATCTTCCTAAATTTAATATTTTAATCAAATATATAAAAAAGAAAAAGTAAAAAAAGAAAAAAATAAAAGGTAAAAATGCTCACAATTTTCTATTTATTCGAAAAATCAATTTTTGGCGCGAATTTAAATTTTAAAATATACTCATATTTTACCTATCTGCAGCTAGGTATCTGCAGATAAAAAAATCCGTAGCTGCAGCTACATATCCTTAGCATTGTTACTACGGATTTTATCTGCAGATTTTTTTATCTGCAGCTACCCTATCTGCAGCTATGCCGCTACGGATAGAAATCCTTAGCATTGTTACTACCAGGGTCAGAGGCCGTATTGGGGTAAAAATTAAATGCAGAGATTTCGAGATATTTTATTGATATCGACTCGAAGCACCATTACCAATTAATTTTTTTTCAAAACAAATTAAATTTTAAAAATATATTTTATTATTAGGCAATGGAACGACGATTTGGTGGCGTTTGGATGGTTGCCGTTTTTGTATGTAAATAATAAATATTTTAATTAAAATTTAAAAAAGGATATTGACTTTGATGCTGCTTATACAATTGTTCGCCGTTCCCCAAGTTATATGTTATTTGGTGTTAATGATAGAGCAATTTTAATTGCTAGGGAAGGAAATGGAAGGAAAAATAAAAACAATCCTTTACTTTAAGTTAAATAAAGTCTGACTTTATTATAAGATACATTGGTTTCAGCTTCGATCATTTTCAAATCTTGGCTCCGTCACGGATACTTCAAAAAGGCTTGGACGTTCCTTTAAGCGTCGTGGACGAAAATTTCAGTATTTTCATCTGATTTTCAAGACAAAATATTTTCGAAACAAATGATAATTGCGGATTAAAGATGCATAATTTCGATAAATCCGCATTGCAATTCGCAATTGCGTCCATGCCTGCCTGAAGCCAACCAAGCCCAACCAAAAGCTCCTCTTAAATCGAGGAGTATCTAGTAGTTGGTGTATCTATAGTGAAGTCAGACTAAATAGAATCTCTATCTTATTCCAATCTTCTATCCACTATCCCAATTAATTATCCAATACATCGGGACTGGCCCGAGCCGGGATAAGTAAGAAATTGAGGGAAATTGAAAGAGAGTCTTTCTTGGATGATTGGATTTTGGAGCCTTTTTACACAAATTTATGAAAAGGAACTGTAAATATGTAGAAGGATAAGTTTGAGATTTTAGTATTGTATTGGCGATCTCTTTATTATGTATAATATAGCACTGAATGGTTCTAATGTAATTTTAATTTAGTGATTGCCAAAATTTGTATTTATCTCGTGTGCTAGATTTTCTAAATTTTGCGGGACGCAGATAATGCATTTTAAAACAATTCAGTGCTTTTTTTATTTTTATTTGCCCAATTTACTATTTTTTAAAAATTTTGTTTACAACAACAAAAATATGTAGGATTTAAAATCCATTTTTAAATAAAATTGTATTTATTTTCAAATAAAGTTTTGTTTTTTATTATTAATATGCTTTGTTTATATAAATTTATTGCTAAATAAAATCCATTCATTATTAGCATATAAAAAGAAATATGGCAAAAAATAATTTTTAAAGGAAGGAAGGGGGAATGTTTAACAATCCAACAAAAATACGAGGCTGCGATGATCGGACCAGGACCACGGCCACACGCACTATAAAACAAACAACGAAGACTGACAACAATAAAAGGAAGGGCAGAATTTATTTAAAATTAGGATGTGCGCCAAGATTCTCTGTTTTGGCGTTTCTTTAAAATAATTTTTGCGCACACCCCCAATTTAAATAATTTCCGGAAACAATTAAAGTGTTGTAAAGAGAGAGAGACTATACAGAATTAGGGGAAAAGGAAAGATAAATGAGATTAAATATTTGTATAATTTGGGTTAATTGAGCTTTAAACGATGATTGAAGACGAATGACTGATTTTCTTTTTTTTAAATTTCCTAACTGGTTCCTTCTTTTTTTGATTGAAGAGAATAAAAAAGTAGTAGTTTAATATCACAATAATAATTAATGATATCCACCACTTTTTGCACTTGCCTCCGCGAAATATCCGGGAGGAGTACGCGGTTCTATAGAAAAAAAAAGAGAAAAATTAATGGAATTTTTGAAAATATTTCTTAAAAAATACCTGGACAGTGTTCACAACTGCCCTTATCTCCGTCTTGTCCAGGAGGTCCAGCAGGTCCCTGAATTGTTAGAAATACAAGTTAACTTCAAAAGTTTAGAGAAATAAAACTTACAGGTCCGCCAGGACGGCCTTCACGTCCGGGACGTCCAGGCTCGCCAGGAGGTCCAGGAGGACCTTCAAACGATTGACCAGGAGGTCCGGCAGCTCCAGGGGCTCCTGGTGGTCCAACAACACCCGGAGGTCCGGCTGGACCTTGAGGTCCAGGCACGGGAATGAGACGACCAGGAGAGCCCTGAATATGAAAGAAATTAAAGAGAAAATATTAATTAAAACTGACAGGCGCTCCTCTAGGTCCTTCTCGTCCGGGTCGTCCTGAAATTAAAATTATTATATTTACACTGGTTTCCACGCCAGACCCAGACACATCCGAGTCTAAATTTATTTGTAAACAAACATACCGGGTGGACCATGTTGTCCAGCCATTCCTTGTTCACCAGGAACTCCTTTAAATTGTGAAAATTATTTTTCTTCTTAAAAATCTAGAAACCGTCTTTTGGCGGCTCGCCAGGCGATCCTTTAGGACCAGGTGGTCCTTTGGCACCAGCGGGGCCTTGAGGACCAGCTGGTCCTGGCGGGCATATAATACAAGGAGGCTCCACAGGAGCTGGCAAAATCTGTGCATCTTTTCCACTAGTTCCATCCTTTCCATTAGGTCCATCCTCCCCATCTGGCCCAGGTTCTCCTTCAGGACCAATAGGTCCGGGTGGTCCTTGATGGCAAGTACAACAAACTGGAGCGGGTTCTGGAGCAACAACAGGTTGATAACCAGCAGCTCCCTGTCCATAGGTTGCCCCACTTGGGCCTTGAGATATTGCTGATTGGACAGTATTTGAAGGACCAGTTTGTGCTGGTTCGTAACCATTTTCTGGTACCCACTGGCCAAATAGCCAGCCACGTTTAACTCGGTTTACGTGTCCTTTTCCAATTTGAAGTGCTGTCATTTCTAGCCACATATCTCGACTTTTTGCCTAAGTAATTTTAAAAATTCAGAGGTCAATTTAAAGAAGTAAGGCTGTTCTATTAATTAATTTCTTATACTCGGTCACAAACTATTATTTTTCCTATCGGAAAATGTATCGATAACTAAATCAAAAGTTCATTTTTTACCTTACAATGGTCAATTTCAACAATTAAATGGCTTTGGAAAGACTGTACATAACTATAAAGCATTGGAAGTGTTACAACAGAAGCAATTACTGCAACCGTCGAAACAACAACCGCTACAAAAGCAATTCGTCGCATTTGACGGTGCTCATCCTTTGAAAGAAAAATATATCTCTCGAAAATTTTCTAGTCAATTTACCGTCTCTTTAAGGCAAAACTGCTCTTTAGGTTCCATATCGCCGTTAAGCGGAGGAACAACGTTAAAGGTACTCGAGGGACGGAAGGACAATGGAAAGACCCTCTCGCCTAAAAAATGAAAAAACTAAAGAGATATAAACCATAAAAGCTTTAAAAGACACTTTCTCCAGTCATTAAATAAAATAATCAAATTGAAGAACTCTCTTCAATATAGGCCCCCAAAACTAAATGACTTGAGAGAATAATAAAAGCTTTTACAGAGTAAGGCAACATTTGCGGACCGACATTTGCGGACATCCTCTAAACTTTTTGGTTTATAGGAACTGTGATGAATACTGTACCAACAAAACAGTACTGTATATACAAAGTATAGTATGGTGAACAACTTCCTAATGGCAATTTGTTCTTATTTTAGTCCTCCTTATTTTTGTCCTCAAATGTCGCAATCGCAAATGTTGTGCCTTTTACAGTATTTTATTTTCAAAAAATATACATATAAAAAAAGATAAAAATATTTTTATCTTCACAATCTAATAAAAATTAACTAGCTCTTTAAATATTTTTGTCTCCTATTTATATAGCAGAATGCCGATTAAATAGGTTCGGATATATCCATCAAAAGGAAGAAAAAAGGCAACCGCTTATATAGCTTTTTTAATGTTAATTCTTCCCTGAAATTGTTCATTTGTCACAAAACTCGTTATTTAAAAACACCACACAATTATTTTTATTTATTTATTTACTTGACAAAAATTTTAGAAAAAATAAATAGAAGTAGAAAGATGACCATTTACTACTTCCTCTAAAAAAAGCTTTACAGGAATTTTTAGTTTAATTAATAGTGATAAAGCAGGAAATTGTTTGTATGTATTAAAAAGTTATAATTTGTATTGTTCTTTGTTGTTGATATTTAATTATATAATGAGAAAATAAAATAATATTTTTTAAATTGACATTTGAGGGGGGGAATCCTTTTTTAATCTTACGAACGGGAACACTCAAGATTAATCCCGCTAAATTCCATAAATCAAAAGAGGTATGTTGGAGCCTACGAAATCTTTCGTGGACATAAATACAGTTGTTCAAGCATTTATTCAAATTTAAACGAAAGATAGGTAAATGTTTAAAAGTACATTAAAATTGACAACAAGTTTTTTGTTTATTTTTAAAATTTGTTTAATCTTGAAAAGTTTTTTTCTTCATGCATATAACCAAAGTATAGCCAAACAAATCAGACTTAGGATACGGACAAAGATGCAGATAATTTCAAAATTATATATCCGCCTGTACCCGCAGTAAATATACTGTTGTAAATTTTTCTGGCTTCTGGGAATCGTGAAAATTCAAAAATTTTCGCCTGCGGCGCTGAACAGCGATAAACACTAGTTTTTTGGGTCTTAATGGACTAAATTTTTGGCGTTTTGGCGTCGTTTTTGGCCGATTTTGGCGTTCTGGCGTTTGGCGTGATTTGAAAATTTGAAAAATTGGCGTTTGGCGCGCCACGCGAAAATTTTAGCGCACAGCCCGAAGAAGGTGAACTCATACATATTTTACACTCAAACTGAGAGAGAAATTTGGTATTCAATCAGTCACAATTATTGGCACTGAAACAGTCACAACTAAAATAAAAAAAAACTGTCTCACGTCTCTCTTAAATTAATTCAGTATTTCCTTTCCGTCTGTCACTAATTTAATTCTTCTTGCGTGCGTCAACGATTTTGTGATTTTTACTTTTCTGTGTTAATCATTTGTCGATAATTTTAGTAAAAATTTTGTAATTTTTGTTGTCCAAACTTGGTTAGAAAAAATGCAAATTAACGAGAATGGCGAATCAAATAATATCAACAAAAAAATAGAAACTTCACAAAATTCTGAAAAAAATTTGTCAAATGTTATATTTCGAAATAGAACAATGGAAAGTTATGAAATGAGTCCAGAATTGGAAGACAACCATGAAGGTTTCTTTAAAAGAAAAAAATTTCTAAGAAATTTTTTCAGAAATTCGAAAATTGGATTCTCAATTAGATCATGTATTTTATTTTAAAATTATTTTTTTCTAATTAATATTTAATAGTTAAATGAATATATGGACAAAGTTGAGGAACGAATTAAAGCTCATAATGACAAATTAATGGAAACACTTAAACAACAAAAAGAGGATAGAGAGAAACGACGACAAAGTTTTCATGAGGTTTGAATTCATGTATTCATTGTCAATTGCCACAAAAAGGGGGAAGTTTCGCAAAATTGTTATTTACAATGACTGGCGCCCCCATAATTAAATTACCTAACTAAATGACTTTTTGAAATTAACTCAAATTGAAACTCTTCATATTAATATATTTTCTTTTCATTTTAGCGTCTTGAAATGGGCCGTAGCGAAGATGAAGATTTTCAGAAACAATTACATTCGGTTTTTTTATTTTTCAAATTAAAAATTTTTTTAATTTTAAGGTTCTAAATCGTGTGGATTCAATTCGTCGAGTCTGAAGAAAAAATTAATTTTTGGGTTATTTTAAAAAATATATATTTCTTCTAAGTTTTTCTTTTTTAACCCAGTGATAGGTTTTACTAAAAATTATTCTAAACTAAAAACGCTTTTCTTAATTTTTAAATTTAAGAAATTTTGAGGTGGGAGAATTCCAATTTTTAACCCGCTAAACTATTAGAAGAGCGTTAAAGTATTATATATAAAACGGCCAGTAGTTTGAAAAACACTTAAATTTTTTTATATAAATCACTTAATAGAATTATTCTTACACTTAACACTTAAAATGCATAAAGTTGTTTTTCTGCCTCTTATAAATTTTTGAATTAAATAAAAAATGTGGAGGGGGAGAGGGGCAAGCAAAAATGATGCTAAAATATGTAGAATAAAGTGTAAACTTGGTCACTATGTAGAGAGGAAGATTGCTTCTCTCGTAACCTCCCTCACATGCCCAATTTTCTCAAATCCATAACCCAATAATTTTTATAAAACCATTACCATTTTTAAAAATTGTTAAAGCCATTGTAAAAATCAAATGAAAATTATTTGAAAAATTTTTTGGCACAATTTAAACGTAACGAATTTCCTCCCAATCTTTTCCTCTTAATCACAATCGTTTCCTTATTCTTCCCACCTCTTTCTTCATTTAAATCCCTTCTATTTCTCAATATTTTCATACATTTTCTATAATCATTTAAATTTTGTGTCTCTTCATCACTACTTTCTTCATTTGAAGAATTTATTGCAGCAGAAAAAGTTGTTGTTTTTGTTAAACAATCATCAGAATCGTCACTTAATATAGATAATGTTCTTTTTTTATTGGAAAGATTTAAAGAAGAATTTTGTTTTAAAGGAGATAAATCTAATTGTTGTTGTTCTTTGTTTGAATCTGAAGTTCTCTTCTTTTCAGCTCTTTTACATTCCAAAAGATGAAGAAATTCGCTGTTGGTACGTGGTTCAAAACCTTCTAAAAGTGGTGATAATTAGAAAATTTAAAAAAATCATTTGTATGTAGAGTAAATTTTAAAATCTTTAACGCGAGTATTCATGGTTCAGTGGTAAAGTTCTCGACTATAAAATTTTTCTTGAGGGTTCGAACCCTCACAGTGCTAAAATTTTATTTATGTTGATTTTTTGTTTAAACTTTTTTATGAAATATTAAAAGAAATTTTGTTAGCATTTTACTCGATTGTTATCCATTAAATTGTCGACCTATTCCCCCATTTATATAATTTAAAAACCTTCTGATTGTCGTTGTGCTATAAATTCAGCCAATTTGTGTAATTTTTCTTTGTCAGAATCATTAAACCTCTCATTTTTCAAACATTCACGCAAATATTCTAAGGCAGTCCAATCATCATCATCTTTACTCGAAGCGCGTGCTTTAAATTGCAGAAGCATTCTGGCAATGCTAACATTGCCGAAGGAACATGCTTCCATCAAGGGGGTAAGTCCACTTGAAGTCTAAAAAAGAACGTTTACCTCTCAACCCCAAAGGCTGTTAAGTAAAAACAATTTACAATTTTATTTTGTTCAGAATCAACAAGAAATTCAGTTGAACGGGTATTTGGATTTGCACCACTCATTAATAATAGCCGGACATTTGCCATATTTGATGCAGCCACTGCTTCACTTAAAGGTGTCCATCCCCCATGATCTAATTGATTAACATCATATCCTTCTCCAATTAATTTTTTTAATAATTGATAATCATCAGAACGAGCAACTTCATGCAAACTTGATTCTCCATGTTTATTCATATTTCTTCTTCCTTTGATTATTTTTTCTTCGTAATCAATTGTTTTCATTTCAGCTAAAAATGTTTTCTTTTAGATTTTATATAAATTGAGGGTTGAATTGTGTTTTGAATCCACTCGGAAAATAACATTTAGTTATTCCCACAACGGACGAGATTTTTGTCGTCGTAAACAAATTAATTCTAATTATTAGAATATGAACCAAGGCTATCAGAGTTTTTCGAAGAAACTAAAGGTTTACTGATTTCAGTCCCAAAACTCGGCACTCGCATTAAAACTCCGAATAAGGACTTCAAAATTCCAAATTAAATGCAAATTATTATAAAATCTTATAAAATAATTTATAAATTTTAATGACAAGTTATGAGATCAGATCAAGTGCCTGCCCCAAAAAAGTTATAATTATTTAATATTACCTCTAATTTCAAAAATTATTTGCTCTTCATTCATTTCATCAAATTCATCTGTAAAATTAGAAGTAGAGTCTTCTATTAATTCATTTTCTTTCCGCCCTTCATCATTTTCAGCCAAAGAATTTTCTAATGAAAGTCTTTCTCTTCTCATTTTAGCTATCTTTTCAGTTGAATATAAATTGTTAGACTTCAGAAATTTAATAAATTCGGGTAATAATGCAAACTAAAAATTGAAAAAAAATAGTTTCAGAAAGATCTTGATTTTATAAACAATTTAAAAAAACCTTATATTTAGGTATAGAACAATCATTATAAACTTTTTTAATTTTTTCCAAACGTTCTTCCAAAGAAATTTGCTCAACTTTTATGTATGCAAGGGCGATTGAAATGTCGGTTTCGAGAAGCTTAATAAAAATATTTTAGAAATATTTTGGCGAAGATATTTTTGTTATATTAGGTCCCATTCAAAAATTTAATATATCCCCCCGACTAAATTGCAGTTATAATTTCATTTAAAAATTTTGAATCTGGATGCCTTAGAATGGTACGATGCATCTAGAGGGTAGCTACCCGGAACATCATTTAATAAATATTTTATTGTTAATTAAGAATATAAAATATTTTCTTTAAAAAAACCTTTTCATCATCATATCCCAATTCTTTTTCCCATTTTCTTGCTTGTTCATAAAAATGAACACATCTTTCCCATAATCCACAATCTTTAGCAGTTTCAGCCATTGAAATCCAAGCTTTTCTTTGATCATCAGCAGAATCACAACATCTAGATATTTAAATTAATTAAAAAATTTATTTTCAAACAAAACTTCATCATTTTATTATAATAACGCAAAGCAATTTCATTAAATTCCAATTTTGATGCTTCATCTCCAATTTTTTCGAATAATACCATTTGTGCTCGACGTCTTTTAGAATTGTCTTTCGAGTCGAGATTATTCGCTTTCTTTTCCCTTTGTTCGGTTTTATAAGCTTTAATAGAAATAATTTGAAGTTAAAATGTTATTAACCTAAAAGGATATATCCAGAATATTTTTTTAAAAAACTATTAGCCCCTTTGATAACCCTCGGTTTAATTCAAAAAATAAAAATCAATGTATTAGCATAGAAGGGCCAAGGCACAGACTAGGGTTGTCAGTTTCAAACCGAAAACCCGAAGATTTTAGGTTCGGTTAACCGAAGAATTTGGCAAACCGACAACCTACTACAGACACTCCCGTGATGGTAAAAATAAAGAAACTAATGTGAAACAAAGGACAAAGATTCTTGTTAAAAAACATTAACCCACCCCTTCTATTACCTCAAAAATAAAAATTATTACTTACAAAAAATCAACGCATTTTTCAAGTCAGAAGCTAAATCGGCAGAAATAGAATCTGGCTGTTTCTCAAAATCTTCAAAACATCTCCAAAGTAATCTTTTTGCAGAAATTAATGTTTCTCCATCCATTTGACGAAATTTTTCCTTAAAATTAAAAATTAATTTTTCTTCCATTTAAAAAATAAACCAAAGCTAAATGGCATTTGCTTTCCTTTTTAAACCGCCTTTCATCTGCATTTTTTGGAACAATTTTCGAAGCAATTGTACACATTGACTCTGCAATTTGTTGTCGTTCTTTTCCATTTGTGAAATTTAATTTAATTAAAAGACTTCGATAACAAAGAGCCCAATCATTATTTTTTCTAAAATGAAAAATATTTCTTTTAATTTTCTGAAGCCAAAAAAATTAAAGGAAATTTAATTTAAAAAAATTTTAACGTTGCAAAATTCATAGCTTCCTCATTTGCTTCTAATCCTTTTTTGTCATAATCATATTCATGAAAATTATCAGAAACGTGTAATTCTAAATAAATGGCAGCAATTAAATTTTGCAATTGGGCCATTCTACAAGACGAATCTCCATCAATTTTTTGATCATTTATTTCGATTGAATGCTCAATTAAATAATTTCTACATCTTTCGGCATATTTCAAGGCCTTAAAATTTAAATTAAAAAAATTTTAAAATTAAAAAACCTTTTTGGGAAGTTCACAAGACAAACAAATATGTGCACGTTGATGAAGTGATTGTTGAATAATTGATGGATTTTCTGAAGTATAAGCAAAATCTAGAGATTTGTTTATTTTATCAACGGCAGAATCAAAGTCTCCTAAATTTTAAGAAAATTTAGAGGATTTTTAAAGGAGATTTCTAAAGAAATTCTTATTGTTAGAAATATAGAACCGATCGATTCTGGATAACCAAAATTTCTGATAGAAATCTTGTTTCGGTCCGATCTTTAATTAAGGTCCAACTAACTTTTAATTTTAGAATGATGGAGATAAAGCAAAATACATTGGGTATATTGGTTTTCAAATTTTTTTCGAAAGAGTTAAATAAATTTTCTAAACTAATCTTTTAATAAAGATAAACAATTTTCATGGTAATTATGAATTTCTATATAAAAATCCCCGCAATTATAATAAATTGTAACAATTGATCGTAAAATTTGGAGTTTTTAAGCCACAAATGATTCCAAATAAAAATCTAAAAAACCTTTTTCTATAGCAATTTCTGCAAGATTCCTGTAAGCCAACGAACAATCAACAGAACAACTTTCATCCTCCTTTCCCCACAAAATTACTTCATTATATCGTTTTTCAGATTCATTAATTAAAAGTAAACTGTTCCGAAGATATTCAGCCAATTCCAAACAAATTCCAGTTATTTTTTCTGGAGAAGATTTGTAAATTCTTTTAGCATTTTCTAATTTTTTTAAAAGAGCTGAAAATATTTTTAAAAATAATTTTTGTTAATTAAAAAAATTTAAAACTTACAACAATATTCTCTGTCATTGTTTAATTTAACCATAAATAAATTGAAAATAAAATTAGTAAAAAATTAAATATTTTTTTAAGTCTAAAAGAAAAATATTTAAAATAAAATTATTATTTATAGTAAAAAAATAAGTTTATTTACAAACAATAAATAAAGTTTATTTATGTCTTTTGATGATCATTGATATTTTATTGTTTGAATAAAAAAAGGTGTGAAGATTTTTGAATTGGGGGAAAAAGTTTGGGAAGCCAAGCTAGCTTGTCTTTATTGTTAAATGTTAACTTGAATTTTAAATGTTGGCTTGAAAAAAAAATTAAGAGAACGAGGGATAAAAAAATTGTTAATTTTAAAAATTAAAAAGTTTTGTCGAGACTTTATTATAAATTTCCATTGCAAAATAATTTAAAAGTAAATTAAATGCAAAATTTGGCAAAATGTTTTTATGTCATTTTGTCTTTTTCCTGACGGGCATTTCATTTTATTTTCAAGGAAAGCCGAAGCTAAAATTTATTTTTTTATTTTTGTTTTTTATTTTTTTATTTTCTAAAATTTATTTTTGTTTATCGAAAGTTTATTCAATTTAGAAAATAAATTTAAAATTGTAAATATATTTGTCTAATAATATATTTTGTTTGTTAATTGTGTAAATTGTCTTTTATTTTTAAAATTTAAGGTAATTTAACTTTTTTAGGAAATGTCGCAAGCTGTGCCAGATATTTTAAAACAAAGGTTTATTGAATTAGATGGAACCTCACAATCTTTAATTCCCTGTACTAACAATGACAAACATTCCCATACAAAATTTGCTAGTGGAGGGTTTCTGCTTTGGAAAGGTTTTGTCTTTTTTTTCTTTAAAAGTTAAAATTCCAATTTATAGGCGTTGAGAGTGGATATTTTTACGTTGTTGAAGTTTCATCGCCTGGTTCTATTCTCATTTTTGACGGACGCAATAACAAAGCAGAACCGATTTTAGAACATAAATTTGGCAGAACGGCTATTATTATTGACGTTGTTTATTTTCCGGCTGCCAGTGATAGGCCGGGAGTTCTTGTTGCCGTTGCTGACCGTTCGATGGAAAAAGGTGACTATGTGGCTTATATTTCTCTACGTTCGAAGAAACTCTTGAACTCTTGTTATGTGAATTATCCGATCACGAAGCTTTGTTCAATTGTTGACGGAATGTCCGCTCGTGATGCTTTGCCTAAACTTTCCAAAAATCTTAGAACGGTAATAATTTTACATTAAAGATTATTGGTCCTTAAAAAACAGCATGAAAATAGCTCTAATTTTAGGATTGGCCTCATATTTTTCTTGTTGGCTGCCGGCTTGGTTACGCTGCTCTGCTTTGTATGGATATATCTACTGATGATCCAGACATGATGTTTTTGACCGAAATTTCTGAATCTCCTACAAAAGCGGTTCAAACTATGCAACGACCATCCAGACCAAAGAAATATGTTCATCTTTCAAGTTTGTTTAATTAAAATTGATTTTTCTCTTTATTACGTTTATTTCTAGAAGTTTTCTATGATGACCAAATGTTTGCATTCCGTTCAGATGATGGAACAAATCGGTGTTATGCACTTGGTTGGAGATTAAACAAATACTTATTAATTTCCAATTCAATTTTAGATCGCGTTTTTGTTTCTGCTCTTTATTGGATTGAAAGATCTTGCTTGTTGGTTATTGGATTTAATTTTGGTGGTATAATGATTGTCTCTCTGAAGACATCAAAAGTTTATTCATTGTTATACGCTGACGCGATGGTTCAACATTTTGCTCATCTAGACCCCGAAGATGATCCGAGGCCTGTTTATTATATGTGGATTTCTTACAATTCAATGCAATGGTTGTTTTTGGAAATTATTTTAATTGATAATTTTAGTGGAAATACTTTGCTTCTTTGCACTGTCAATTTTCCAAAAGATGAGAAGGAAACTAACAATCCGGCCGAATGGACTTTTAATGAGCCTGTTTTTACGCCTTGTATGAAGGTTTTTAAAATTTTTTTTTTCCAATTTTAATGTTAATATAGTGGTCTCCTGACAATTGTAATCGTTTGCTGACAATGAGGACGATCTACAGACCAAAGCAGCGATCTACCCAAAATGGTGTAAATCAACGTCCACTTTCTTCATTTTCAAATTCTTTCTCTGAAACACAATCTAAAAATGGTTTTTTTGATAATTTATTTTTAGACATTTATTTTAGATACCTCGCTTCTCTTCATGGCATGGATACAAAAGACCAGTCGCGATGATGCAACTCTTCATGTAATTTTTATTTTTCTCAAGATTTATTAAATTAAATTTTCCACATGTTTAATTATAATTTAACTGGCTTTTCTTTAGGGTTCACTTTTCGATTTAAACGCCTTCTATGCAAAACGATGTCTTCCCAAAATTCAACATGATGGAACTATTGCCCGTCAATTGCCTTTTTTTGCAAGATTTACGTCACTTTATGTCGAAAATAAAATCGAATCTGTTGCTAAAAATAATTCTATTTTGGCAAGTTTTTCTTTACTTTTTTAAATCACGAGACTTCGATTTTAGGACATATCTGTTTCAAATGTACTCCAATTTGCTCCTCCGGCTTTTATTAATGAAAATACCGACCAATTATATTATTCATCAACTTATCATCTTGATTTTAATTGTTTGACGCCAGTGAGGGTTTTTAAAGCAAAAGTTAGACCAATTCAGACCCATTTAATTATTGAACTTTCTTCGAATATTTTTAAATATTTTCAATCTCCTCATTATCCAGCTCAATGGATTTATGCAATTGGATTGGCAAATTCGCCGGCAGCTTCTGACAATTTGGTTTTTAAAAATAATTTTTTTGTATTTTTGATTTTTTTGAAGAATGAGGAACGCGCATGTCTTTTAAGAATTATTGTCCATGCTTTCTTTCCATCAATTCTAACGCTTATTGACTCTGTTAATGACAACATGGATTATTTAAAGTTCATTCAAAAATGGGTGTGGAAAGAGGTTGAAGTGACAAAATTGAAATTTGATGAATTTTGTGAGTTTTTTATTTATTCTTTAGTGGGTAGAAGGAGGGCAAAATTTTTGGTACCAAAATTTGGTACAGAAAATTTGGTTCAATTCACTTTTCTTAAAAAATGACTGCAACAAACAAGCGTCCACATTCTCCCAGTTCAAACAACTTGTAAACCAAAACTATTGTTTGTTGACGCCTGTTTTCTATATGTTTTATTTTCGTTGTTTTACAATATTTTTTGTTTTGTTTATAATTTGTCTGATTGTTAGTGGCCTTTTTATAAGGTCCTTTTCAGTGAATAAATAAATTTTAAAAAATCAGCTTTTGTATGTCTATTTTTAGGTGCGCCTTTATTTGACAACCCTCCGCTTGAGGCTTCACCAAGTGTCAGAGGTTTTATTCAACATGCTCGTGTCTTTTTCAAGCGTGCTTCTATTATACTTGAGGCTCTTGATGCTAAAATTTCAAAGATCTCTGGGAAAGGTTTTTAGTTTTTAAAGATTTTTAAATTATTTTTATGATTTCTTTATTTTCTAGAAAAGAGTCGGACAATACTCGTCCAAGGAAAAATTGCTAAACAAATTCGTCTTTATTCATCAACAATTGCCTTTGCTTTAGTTTACAATCTCCTTCCTTTGAATAAATTTAATTCAAAGCTTTATGAAGCTGTAAATGATCGTTTCTCTCAATTTTCTGAGAAGGCACGAAGGAAGGGGTATAATTATTTTTTGTTTCTAAAATTATTTCCGTGTTTAGAAAAGAACTTAAAATTCATTCATTGCTTGATGAAATTATTAAATCAAATCCAAATGAGGATATTTGGCAAGGAAAATCGGCTAATGGGTGGTATCCTCCTAGAGACTTTAAGGTAAAATTTTTTTGGGTTATTTAGGAATGGGATCCCTGCAAGGGTGGGCCTGGGGACTTCTGGACGTGAATCCTTGATACACTATGGAGGTTAAAGAATAATTTTTCTGATAGATACTTTTCTAAAAAAAATTTTGGACCCTCCGTAGGGTTATTTGACTTTTTGGTTAATATGTCAATTTTATTTCAAATATTTTCACGTTAGTGTTTGCTGCCCATAATGTTGCTTTTAAATGTGACTGAGAAAGCCAAATTAACTATTCTTGGATATTATTGTCTTGATCTGGAGGTTGCGTCATCTGTTTTTGGTTCAGAAGTTCAAGCAAAAGACGGAAATACTCCCCCATCATCATCATTGAATTTTAGAAGATTTTCTCCAACAGAAGAAGATAATTCACATCCATATCAAAATAGAGAATATTTTTCTTTATTTCTTTCGTTTGTTTTGCAAGAAGATTTTTCTTTAGAAGAAATGAACAAAATAAAGGCTTTTTGGTCGGAAGATAAAAACCTTCTACAAGTATTTTTTCTTAATTCTTTAGTAAGAAAACATTTTTTATTTAGTCGAAAGCTGTGGTAGCTCAACCGGAAATTGTTCAGGATGATGATCATTTGTATTCTATCAATTCACTTCAAGATATAAAAAAGACTCGAGGTATGATTACATTTCTCAATTGAGAATTTTTGTTGCGGTGCTTACATTAGACCTTGTTTTAGTTGTGGGGAATGTGTTGGGTTATCTGAAATGTGGTTAACTCTGATTACCTTATTTTTTCGCAGAATTTTAAAATATGTGAAAATCTCTCGTTTTGATGTCGAAAGTACAAAAAAATTTAATTCACACAACCATTAAATTGAATATAAAAATAATTTTCAGAGTATTATCTTGCAAAAGAGTGGGGCGTTTTCCTCTTTAACAATTTGATGCTTGAACATAGACGTTATAAATTACTTATGGATCTGCCTCCACTTAAAGGAAATGAACCAGAATTTGTTCAAAAATGTTATACTCAATGTATGGAAATTCGTAGACAACTTCCTTCGCTTTTTAAGAAGATTGAACCTTTGCCGACTTTTATTATGGAACGATATAAACAAAAAGGTTTTTCCTTGTTTTTTGTTTTAAATTTAATTTTATATTTTAGTTAAACAAAGTAAAGGCCCAGGCAAAATTTTATTTCCAATGGATCCTCGAGAATCTCAAAGTCAACCAATCTTGCCACTTCGGTATTAAAATCGTTGAGATTTTAAATATTTTTGTATTTTAGAATCAAACATAGTCCTCTTGTTGATGGTGACAATCTTCCCAAATTTTTTGCCAAATCTGTTGAAGTTACGTCGGTTCTTGGAAAGAGAAGTCTAACAGGCCGTTTCTCTGTTTCTGATGAAGATAATGAACATTTTGAAGAATTACCATTGACTATTGCTACACCGAGGTATTTTTTATTTATTTAAACTTTATTTTTGGAATGTCTTCCGGCTTATTTTTTAAATAAGAGTTAACTAAAAAATTTCTTTAAAATTGTGAATTCAAATTTTTTGAGACTTAAATTTTTTGAGGGGAAATATTTAAGATTTATATTTTAAGAAAACGTCAACGATTATTCCTATTTGATTCATCATTAGGAGGGACTGTAGCTACTCCATTGGCGGAACCTGAGAAGGAAACTGTTAAAACTTCTCCAGTGATTTGTGAAGATTTACAGAAAGGGTATAATTTTTTTAATTTTCATGTTTTATATTAAAAATTTTTTTAGTTGTGTCAATGCCAAGGAATGGGACAGAATCTCTAAAATTACACAGACGCCTTTATCTTTGCAACGAAGCATAAATCAATCGAGATTACCTGGACGGAGCAGAATTGGTTCGGCACGTACTGCTCTCTTCCGAGATGATGGACATAAGCTTGTGGCTCTTCAGAACGATGGGACATTAACTCCAATAAAAGCAAGAGATCAAAATGCAGAGATTTCTCCAGAACCAAATATTGTACGCGCACAACCTCCTTCAATTCTAAAATCTGATAATCGAAAATCACGGCTGCCGTCAACCGCAAGATGTTTGTTTTTGTTGTTTAATTTTAATGATTTTACATTTTTAGCCGAGAAACCAAAAATTCGTTTTTCTCAGTCACTCTTTACAACAGAACGTATTCCTTCAAGATTCGAAAAGTTTGTTAAAAAAAGTTTGTTGTGGATTAATTTTACAAAATTAAGGGAGACAGAGGAAATGAAAAATACATCATTTACAAATTTCGCCGAATTCTCGCCAACTGACTCGTCTCCGACATCATCTCGATCTGCTGCATCTCGATCTGCTGGACCTGGGACAGACACCAAAAAAGAAACCACTCCAAAAAAGAAAGCAAAGAACAAAACTCCATCTCCCCAGAAAATTTTAAGGCGAAGTCCACGACGCCATAGGTAAATTATTAAACAAAATTTGATAAATATTTTGTTTTATCATGTAATATTGTGCCCTATCTGTTTTTGACTTAATTTTTGAATAAAATATTTTATTTGGTAATTTTAAATAAATTAAAAACAATGGTTTAATATTTTCGTATTAAAATAAAATTATCAAAATTCGGTCGGGTGTACACTCTCTTTTGAAATAAATTCTTAAATCCGTCTAGAAACTTTCCCGTCCAAACTTTGATCTCGTTTTTCTTTAGCTTTTAACTTCATTGTTAGAATAATTAAACCCTTTTCAATTCCAATGTATTAGATAAAGCCTTCCCGATAAATATTTTTATTTCAACTGTACTTGTTGAAAAAGTGCCATTTGTTGGAGTAAACGAAAGCGAGAAAAGTGCATAACATTCCGTCAAATTTGTCTCAATTTGAGGGAGACATTCAACACAAACACCAGCTCTGTTTTTGCTAACATAGAGAACTCGATTGGAAGTCCTAAATAATAAATTGAATTAAAATAGTTGCAGAACATCCCGATATTGACCTCCAAATTTAAAAGACTTACTCATTTGGTGCTTCAATTGCAAGGAGTGTATTAGAGTTTTCATTATATTTTGGTTCTTCTTCAGATTTTATTTCCACTAATTGTGTTTCGGAGTTGTCCTTGTCTGGGATGAGCAATTCTAATGAACAATTGGATGTCTAAAATATATTTATTGTTAACCTCATTATTAAAATAACCCAAACCTTAATTAAAGATAATTTTTGAAAATGACTGAAGGAAACTGCTTAAGCGAGCAATCCCATTTAAGGTACCCCAATCCTAACAATATACTCCCCTCAAAATCCACCTTCTTTAAATATTACCCGGCAAGTGTATCTTATATTGAGATTCAGATAAGAAAGTTTTCTTTCAAAAAAATAAACTAACATCAACACATTTTTCATCGTTTTCACATTTTTTCCCAATTAATTTAACTTTAAAAGAATATATTGTATTATTATTTATTGCCAAAAAGATGACAGAATTTTGACCAGAAACGAGTTCAACTTGTCGTGAAATTCTAATTTCTGGAAAGAAATCTGATGCGAGTAACTAAAATTAAAAGAAAATTATTTTTTAAACAAATTTAATTTTAGATTTTAAAATTCCATTTAATTTTCCCAAAATTGGTAAAAAAATAAAAAAAATTTTAGTGAATTTTTACTGACTTTTTTTTTATAAATATTTATTTCTCTCTATTTTCCTAACTGAAAGGTTAATAGAGAGTAAACACTTATAAAAAAGTCCTCGAAATCTTTCTGCAAAAATAGTGCCTAAAAAGTCTTATGAAAAGTTCCAAAAAAATTTTCAAATAAAAATTTTATCGATTTTTCACTAATTTTATTTATCAACAAAAATAAATAAATTTAAAAACCTGTAATTTCGGCTTAACATCTTTTGGAGAAAATTCCCCTCTATAAATAATATTTTCGCATTCGGCACATCTTAAAATTCTTCTCGAATTTGTTTTTACATGTAAAGGATGTAATTTTCCTTTTTTGTCAGTAATTAAATGTAAAATTGATTGAGACAAATTTGGGGCATTTCCGGGGTCAATTGGTTCGGTCAAAAGACTTGGGTCTAATTCTTTAAATTAAAAAATAATTTTATTAACAAATTCTTAAAATTCAAAGAAAAACAAACCGGGAACGTCAGCAGATGGAGATAACAAAATTAAAGGTTCTTTAGTTTCTGGAATCTTTTCCAACGCTTTTTTGCGTAAATTATAAGCTCCTTGAAGGCCGTAACGATCATTTTGTAAAATGCCGAGATTTGAAAGTCTGGAAATTTTTTAATTAAAAATTTCTTTTAAATAAAACCTTTTCGTGGTTTGAGCTTTTCGTTCACGGTCACTTTTTTCGTTTTTACTTAACTCTGAAAAAAAAAGTTTAAAATTTCTATTTAATTTCAAAAATAATTTCGATCATTCTTGGACGGGGGAGGATGCCCGCGGAAGCCTATAACCTTTTAATAAAACTTACCAATTTTTACAATTGACAAGTTTTTTAATAGACAATTTTAGAACGACAAAAACTTTTTTGCTTGTAAAAAAGAATAAACTTTAAAAACCTTTAATTAATTCACTAATCCTTCCCAATTCCTTCTCCAACGGATTTTTAAGTTCTGGCCAAAGTTCTTCATTTGTTCTATTTTCTGGAATATCCAAATCTTTACTAGTCCATTTACAAGCATTACAATGATGGTGATATTGATCTCCTTGTGAACGGATTCCCAAAAGATGACCTTTAAAAAATTTTTGATTAAAATCCCAGTTAAATTTTATTTATTTGGGTAAATAAAAACAGAAAAATTTACATTTTAATTTTGTTTTAATTAAAAAATATAATAATTTAAATTTGTTTCATTTAATTAGCCCCCCCCCCCCCCCCCGAAATAGGGAAAAGGAAAAAAATTGGGGAAAAAGGTGAATTTTTAGGCTTACGGCCTTCGAACTTTTAAAAATTTTCGCCTGCGGTGCCCTCCTTCCGAAAAAATCCTGGCTACGGGCCTGATGGGAGACCTTAGATAGATTTATAATATAAAGTAAAAATAACCTTTTGTAAAATTTTCCTTAATGACCACAAACCCCAAAGAAAAAATAAAAGTGAAAAAATGTGGGGACAAACCTAATTACCTATTACCTCCTATATCAACTCTAAATTCTTAAACAGACTGTGTAACAGATGAAGGGCAATAAAAAAAAAATAAATAAACCAACCACAAACCGGACATTCATAACAATTTTTGCATCGAAACCGTCTTTGTTGATTGTCAATATTTGTAACATTTTCTAAACAATTTGGACAAAAAACAATATCAATTTCTTCAATAACACAAACAGGGCATCCTAATCTTGAACATTTCCGGCAATAATGCATTTGGCAAAGTGGGAACCAAGCAGAACAATTACATTTGTATTTAACTAGCCAAGATTGTAATAATGAAGTCATTTTTAAATTTAATCTAAAAATAAATTAAAATATTCAAGTCAGTTTCTTATCGAGATCTCGTCTCTGTCCGGTCTCTAATTTCGACTAAAAAATAAAAAATGTGCAAAAACAGGAGAAAAAGCCCATGTCTGTACAAAAGATCGTTTCATTAAAAGATCGTCCCGACAAAATAGGTCAAAACGTCGGTTAGCCAGAAATTGACAAACTATCGATACAGTATCAACCACTTGCCCATAGTTCTAGCATTGCTTTGTAAACTTTTCGTATACTAATCTCGCAATAGACTTGTTATCTCCGAGGGCCAACGAATGCCGCACAATTCAAGTTTTCAAATTATGGACTTCTATGATGCCACACTACAAATTTCAAACTCTAAATTTACATCTTCACGAATGCCCATACTTTCATACCTGATCGGCCAAACTGCGCTTTTTTGGACCACTATGCAGCCTCGTAGACTAGTATGATCCAAATAGACTGATACTACGAGCGTTTACACTTCAGTGACACCACTACACAAAAAGTCTGGCCTGCCTACATTTTTCACACTATAAAAGGCGGGCTCTTCCAAAAGTTTTACCTAACACCAAATCTTCATTTCTCTTCAAACAACAAAACTTCAAAAACAACACAAAATCCAAGGATGTTCTTCCTACTCCTTCTTCTAGCTCTGCTGGCTGCTGGATTCTTCATGTTCAATCAAGGACAAGCTGGAAAGGTAATTGACACTTTACTCTTTTGTGTAAACAACGTTTCTATTAATTTTTTTATTTTTTCAGAATGTTGACCCTGTCGAGCCGGAGCCCAGTAGACGCAGAAGCAAACGTTCCAAACGTTCTACCAAAACAGTCGACACCATGGCCTTGCTGGATGACGACGAGGAGTTGCGAATTGTGGTCGAGGATGAGCGCCCACTCCCTCTTCATGTTGAGCCTCCTACAGTCTTTCCGCCTGCTCCAGTTCCGTCTTCTGAAACATCATCTGCCGAGAAAACATCTACATCTGCTGAGCCTCCTCCATCTTCAAAGCCATCTCCTTCAACAGGAACAGAGCCTAAGAAGGATGCCGAAGGTGCGGACAAGAAAAAGCCTGAAAAGACGAAGGAGAAGTCATCGAAAGCGAAGTCAACTTCCAAGCGTGGAGGCCGCAAGGATAGCAAAAGTCCTGCTCCTGCTGCTGGAACACCTGCAAAAGGGGAAAAGACGAAAAAAGGTAGAGTTATTTTTTGTTAGTTTGGTTTTTTAGAAAAAATTTATTATTTTTAGCTAAAGATGCCGATGAAAAGAAGTCTCGTCATAAGGGCAAGTCCACGAGCAAGCGCGGCAGTGATGCTAAGAAGAAAGAGGGAGGCGACAAGTCAAAGGCAGGAGCTGGAAAGCCGGTTGCTGAAGCTACTCCTGGCGAGACCAAGAAGGGCGGAAGCAAACGCAGCAAGCATTCAGGAAAATCCAAGGAGAAGACAAAGAAGGCAGAAGGAACTTCAGCTGAAACACCCAAAAAAGGAGATGATAAGAAGAAAAAGGAAGCTGCTGACAAAAAGAAAGGTAAACACAAAATAGACTTAATTTTCCAGTAAAGTTAATAATTCATTAAAATTCTAGGTGCAACTGAAGGTGGAGGGGAGAAAGGAAAGAAGGCGAGCAAGCGCAAGAGCCACCGGGACAAAGGAAAGGAGACAGCAGCTACAAAGTCAACATCAAGTACGGCTGTTCAATCGAAGGCTGGTGATGATGACGACACCGGACCCGCAGGCAAGAAGGAAGACAAGAAAAGTAAGAAACCTTTTGATCTAAACCTTCTAATGTTTTCATTTTAGAAGGAAGCCAGCGCAGCGCTCGGACCAAAAGTGAGACGAAGGCTTCTGGGAGCAAAAGGACCACAAGCGGGACGAAGTCTTCGAGCAAAAGGACTCCGAACAAAGGAAAGGAGGCAGCTGCTACAAAGTCAACATCGAGTACGGCTGTTCAATCGAAGGCTGGTGATGGCACAAAGACCGCTATCGTCGACACTGGTCCTGCAGGCAAGAAGGAAGACAAGAAAAGTAAGGAATCCATCTTTTTAATTTTCTTAAAATAATGTTTTTTCATTTTAGAGGGAAGCCAGCGCAGCGCTCGGACCAAAAGTGAGACGAAGGCTTCTGGGAGCAAAAGGACCACAAGCGGGACGAAGGCTTCTTCAAGCAAGAGGACCACAAGCGGAACAAAAGTCGGGCACAGCAAGCGCAAAAGTGGAGTCAAGTCGTCTAAAAGGGAAGGATCAAAAGCTGAAGGGCCATCTAAGGAAACTGAGAAGAGTGCTGGTGAACCGAAGAAAGAAGACGTGCAGGCTCCTGCGGCGCCGGTTGCTGAGACTACCAAAAAGCCAGAAGAAAAGAAGGAAGAAGTAAAGGCTATCACCACCAAACCTGAAGAAGCAGCTGTGCCCAAGAAGGAAGAAAAGGACCAGCAAGCGAAGACAGAAGGAAGCACTCCTGCGCCATTGGCTCCGACTACTGCTGCTCCAACCGAGAAAGCCACGGAAGGACAACCGCCAACTGCTGCACCACCACCAGCGCCTCTTCCTGCTCTGAATCTTGGAACGATGAGTGGATTGTATGAGAACGTGTCTGCTGGCCTTCCTGATACTCCTCCTCCTCCTCCTCCTCCCCCTCAAAATCCTTAAATTGCACCTTTTGTTGTATATTTTCTTTTGTCCCCCTTCTACATATACTTAATGTTGTGTGTTGTATATATTATTGTTAGGCTATACACCTATGTATTTGTGTGTTATAATTCCTTATCTCAGATATATGTATTTTGATTGAATTGTAATATTATATGTATTGTGATATGTATTGTACCTATTTATGTATTGTACATATTGAATATTTTTGTGTATATAAAATGTAGAATTTTGCGGTTTATCAAATTCTTTTTGGAAAAAATTTAGAATTTCTAAAATATTGCCTAAATTATTCTGATAATTTTACTCACTGCCCAAGTTGCCTACTCTACTTACACTTCAATTTTTAACTGAAAAATGACTACTACTTAATTTAAAAAAATTTTCTCCAATTTTGCGTTCTTGCGTCTTGTGTTTTTTGAAATTGTATCCTGCGCCCATCCCTGTGTAGTATATAAAAATTAGTTCTAGCCTTGATCCAATCCAAGTATATTTTCCTCATTGAAGAATAAATCTGCTTTTTCGAAATAAAAACTATTTAAAAATTTAGGAGACTTTTGGTTATTAAAATTATCGAGAAGATCACTTTTAAAAAGGTTAAAAAATTGAGGGTAAATATTTTACAGATAAAGTGGTAGAAAAAAATTAAAACTTAAATAATACCTAACACCTTTTAAATAATAATTTTAGTTGGAATTCTCTAGGTAACTTCACTAACGGCCATACATAAGCGTCGAAACTTAATCAGATGACAACCAGGATTGGCGAGAGTGCTGGTGATTTTTCTAGTTGGTGAACTTAGGAAATCTTTTAATTTTTAAATTAAATCTTTTATCTTGTATACGGCAACCCTATTAGCACGGATTTCAAGATTCCAGGATCAGTGTTTCCGGAACTAGTTTATGAAAATGTGGAACTGTCAAAAATCTGAAATTGCTACGAACCGAAAACTTTCGAATAATTTGAACATCCCTTCCTATTATTGACTTAATAAATGTTGATCATCTGGGTAATCAAAATATTTTTTTGCCCTTTATAAAAAACATTGAGCGACTTACCACTTTGTGTAGTTTTTTGTCCTCCTTTTTTCTCTCATTTTTTCTATTCTCTCTCTATGTACTTTTGTTTTTTTTCATTCGTTCGCTATATTTATTTTTGCAATGTCTTATCTACCAACCGAAAAAAATAAAAAATAGCGAGCGGGTGGAAAAAAATTTTTTTTGGGGGAAAGAAAAGGGTTGTTGGTTGTTGTAAAAAAAGGAGAAGAGAGGAGGAGGAAAGCAATCGGAGAAGGGGGGAAGGGGAGGGGAAGGGAAGGGAAGGATGGGTGGAAGGACGCCGGCAATAAAAAATAAGAAAAAAGTAGGGGGATGGACGAAAAAAATATAGTCGAGTCATTTTTTCACTCATCGATCTCTTCGCTCTCTTATTTTTTTATTCTTTTTTTTTACTCTAAAAACGCGCCAGCTCTAGGCGTCCACCACCCTTTTTTCTTCACTTTTTTATTTTTTACTGACAGCCAGACTTTTCGGCGCGGCTTTTTTGGCGCTGGGGAATTTTTAATCTATAACTTTTTTTGTTCTCGACCAATTTAAACGAGTTATATACCAATCGAAAGCTCTTGATTTGTTGATTCTTTTTTCTGTTGGGGCCATTTTAATCCGATCACTTATTAAAAAGTTATCCTTAATAAACTGCCAAAAATCTCGATTCTCTTTATTTTTCTGTCTATAACTTTTTAATTTTTTGGTAAAATTTATTATATTCTTTTTGGTTAAAAGATTCAACTTTTCCTGAGCTTTAATTTAATATAAAAATTATTAAAATCGTTCGATAATTAAAACATTATTAACCAAAAACACTTCTTACGCCACAATCTCGCGCCTAAACGTCCCCTTCCCTGACAGCCCATCAACTCCCTGCCATCCCCCAATTTTTTTCTTTCCCCTCCCATCGTCGTTTTTTTATTCTTCCACCATTCTTCATTTTTTTGTATAACACAACACAATTCTCTATACCTCCCTCTCGTCTTCATCTCTTCCCTCCTTTTAAATTTAAAAAAAAATATTTTTTTTCTTCACATTCTCTATTTTTTTTGTTTAGATTTTTAGTGTTCAACTAAAAACTTTAAAACTTTTAATTTTTATTTTGATATTTTTTGGTTGTTTTATTTTTCTTTTTTTTTTGAACGAGTTTTTTTCTTTTTTTAAATTTAAAAATGCCATTTATTTATTTTTTGACTAAAAATGCGCAACACTTTTTGACAGATTTTTTCTTTAAATTTTTGTCTACATATTGATAATGATTGACTGATTGAGTGTTTGGAATTTTTTATTTAAAAATGTAAAAATGTTTTTATTTTAAACGTAAAAGAAAATAAAAATAAAAAATAAATATTTACTAAAAAACATTTAAATATTTTGATAATTTTGAAAAAGTTTTGATAGAAATTTTAAGTTTATTTTTTTGTTTTAGAGGAAATAATTTTTCTGGTTAAGTTGGTAGGATGCTTGACTACCATAAAAATGATCACGGTTCGAATCCTGGTAGTTCCTGTAATTTTTAAAATTTAAAAATATTCTTTTAATAAGCAAAAAACTTATTTTATTTTTGGATGGGCCTTTCTTATTTTATTTTTTGGATGTTTAAGTATTTTTAAATTTACAAAAATTCTTTTATAAAAAACTATGCATACATTTAAATTTTATATTTTATTTTTTTTTCAGCATCCGTCCCTTCATATAAACACATTTTTCCTTTGATATACATGTGAGGTAATGATGTTTTTAATTTAATTATTTAATTTTTAAAACAAAAATAAAAATAAATTTAAAGTTTTTTTAAAAAAAAATTTGTTTTCCTATAATTACACTTTGTTAAGAATTATAACTCCATCTATTAGACACTCGAAAAATCTCGAAAAATTTTTTGTTGAATCGGTTTTTAACGAAACGTTTCCTGGGGGAAATCTTCGGAATCGAGACTAAAATTATTATTAACCAATTTCCGCCAAACTTCAAAGGTACGGGAATATGCAGAGAAGATATTGCCAAAGGGGGTCTTGGGAATTCTTGTCATTATCAGAATCTGAACCGGAAATCTAGGAATCTATAGACTTTTTTCTGTTCCATATCCGAAACCGCCAATTAGCCTCAACTAATAAATAAGTCGATAATCTAAATTTAAAATAAGTTTTTTTAAGTTTTGTTGTCCACTGGCTGGGAGAATCTCTCTCAAGCTATATCCCCTATTCATGATACTCCTCATTTTAAAACAAATTTTCATCTCCAAGAGTATATTAGGTATATAGTCAAGATAGAGATTATACATATTTGGATATTTTTATTGTTTCAGTTTTTATAAAAAATTATTTTTACGTTTTTTTTTGTAAAAAATAAATTAATTATTTACTATATTCTTCCCTTAAAAACACATTTATTTATTTATTCTCCCAAATGGACATTGTCCACTCTTTTCTACCAAAAAAAATATTAAAAAAAAAGCAGGCACCAGCAGGCACAAAAATACCCTTTTTACATTTCTCATAACATTCATTTTTATATTTTTAGCT